GATGAATGAACAGCATGGCAAATTGAATGAGATAGGGGTGAATCATATAGAGGCAGCAGGGATAATCGTGTCATTGTATTCTTGGTGGTTGCCGTTACAAGGATCTTCATCCATCGTTGGAAAATAGCTGCTGCACGCATTGAATCGAGTGCTTCCATTGCTGTACAAAACCTTTCCTCAATGCCATCCCATCCATCATCCTCCTCATCCGTATCCACGCAATAGGCTCCATCCTTTCTGCTGACAACGCGACAAGTAACCAAAGCAACATCCAGGATTTCCCATTACTGCACTTGATTGCATCCGTCCATCCATAACCATTGCAAGTCCAATATCGCTGCTGATCTGCTTCCTTTTCCATCCGGCTGTTGGTCAATATCTTTCTTGATCACTTTCCATGTACAGTGTACTCGATAGCCGATATGGCACTATCCATAGGAATCAGTAGATATTGAAAACAAGTTGCTGCACGTAAAAAAAAGATGCATCCATCCAATGGCTATCTGCTGTCCACGTCAAAAGGCTGAAAGACAAATTGCTGCAAGTAACTTGTGACGATGGAGCAAAGACCTTGCGAATAGCAGCTGCTGTTACGTTTGGTTGTGGAAGAGGAGTGTGCAAGAGAGCGTGTGTTGTAGTAGAGCGACAAAGTTGTGAACGCTGTATGAGACAATGCAATGAAGCCCTCGCTAAGAGCAACTGCTGCAATGAACGCTGTTACGTTTGATCGTGACAGATGAGTGTGCTTGACAGTGTGCAGTATCAAGAAAGGCGTGTGTTGTAGTGGGGTGTACATGTCATAAACATGCCATTCAGTCAAAGACAATCGTATCAAGACAATTGTAGGATTGACATGATGGGTTGAAGCAGGACAATCGTTCGCATCGTGGTAATTGTGCTTGAATGGGGCCAACAGTTGAGAATGGGGAGGAAGACCCAAGAAGCGGGACGTGGAAGAAATGGGAAATCCAAGTAGGAGGGACGAGCTGCATAAAGGAAGCCGCATACCACAGATATGCGCACGGACATGCCAAATACCACTTTTTCTCTTCAAGGTCAATCCACTGTACAAGGAGTGCTTTTGTTTTTGGAAAAGCAATTTTATTGATGTGTGCATTGTGGGAATAAAACGAAGAGGGTTGTTTAACAAACACCAGGTGCAGACTTGCTGGCAGCCTTCTTGCCTTCCTTCTTGTTGGTGTGGTTGTAGTTGGTAGGATTAACATGGGCTGAGCTGTGAGCATGTTCACAAGTGATGTTGCTATCATTGTTGTACGTATATCATTGAGTAAACCTACTATGGGGGAAAAACGATCATTTACTCAAACTTACCGGTGGTCCTCAACCGCCTTTTGATCCAGGGTATCCAAGGCCTTAAGTGCAGCCAAAATGTCACGGATCAAGATATCGCAACGAGAACGTGAGAAGTCTTCTCTAACCACGACACGCATCATCTTTTGATGTTCAAGCTTAGGGGCCATGGTATAGGCTGGAACAATCCATCCACGCTCACGAAGACGTGCAGCCACGTCAAATTCGTCATAGTGATGGGGAGCATTGAGGCGGAAAGCAACAAGTGGCAAACCATAGCCTTGACCTTGGCTGAGAATCTCAAATCGACCCGTGGCTTCAAGACGTTGAGCAAGATGATCAGAAATAGCCGTCAAGTTGGTCATGATCTTTTGGAAACCAGCACGACCAAGACGAATTAGAATATAGTATTGGCCAATGATATGAGCGGCACCCTTGCTAAAGTTGAGAGTGAAAGAAGCCTATAAAGCATATACATCTTTAGTAATCATGCATGGCATGTCAATCATGGTATAGCTTACCTGATCACTGCCAAGGTAGTTGATGTTAAAGATAAGCTCCTTGGGAAGGTATTCAGGGCTACGCCAAATGGCCCAGCCAACACCAGGATAAGTAAGACCGTACTTGTGACCAGAAGCATTGATGGATACAACACGCTTCAAGCGGAAGTCCCTGTCAAAAAAAGAAATCACAGCGTTTGAGCATCCTCAATCGGATCAATTTTCCCATACACAAATGTACCCCTGAGCCTTACCATTCAAGTTCGGGAACAACAAATGGAGCAACAAAGCCGCCACTATACAATGAATACCATCATATTAGCACTCACAAACAAAGACCTAGGTCTTGTAATTCCTATACCACTCACCTAGCAGCATCCACGTGGATACCAACGTCCCAGCCATTGGCAGAGCACTTTTCCTCCAAGAGCTCGTTCAAGGTCTTGACATCTTCATAATGGCCCGTGTACTATAATACAAACATCAAGGAATGAGAATACATGTTGATCAACAAGGGATCCAATGGTAAATACTCGCTTACCGTAGAACCAAGAATGGCACAAACACCGATAGTGTTTTCATCAACTTGATCCACAGCCTTCTTGGGATCCATATACAAAAGCTCCTCAGTGCAATCGATTTCTCTTGGTTCGATTTCAAGGTACCTGCATGAAAAACAAGCACGTATGTGTGTGAGAAAGAATAAGATACATCTTTGGATAATGACATACAGCAAAGCCTTGTGCCATGCTACCTGGCAGTTAGCTCCCAAGACCATGTTGGGCTTTTCGGTGGAGAGACCCTTTGCCTTTCGGGCGTTTTGCCAACGACGCTTCATTGCTAGAGTAGCAAGAATGATGGCTTCGGATGAACCAACGGTGGAGCAGCCAAGAGCTTCTTCTTCAGCATCATGCATAGGTGCATTGAACAAACGTGCAATCATGTTGACGCAGCGGTTCTATTTTCATGATGGGACAATGATTAATCGTAGCCACGAAATTGCGCCCGACCCCTTTTTTAAACAATTTTCCGCCCTGTCCCGGTTTCACTTTCCCGACATAGCACACACACACACACGCACACGCTCACATACACCAGCACGCTACTACTACTTACGCAAAGCTCGGCTGATTGGGGATACTCTTCATAATCGATAAAGTTCTTGGAAATGTTTTCAGCCATCAACTTTTCAGCTTCCTCTTCCATAAAGGTGGTGACAAAACTGGCAAGGTTCAGGGCAGGATTGCCATCAAGCTATATAAATTTTCCCCATTTAGATAATTTTTACAACCACGCGACGTGTCTCATCACTTACAGCAAGCTCGTCCTTGATCAAACGATAAGCAACATCTATGATCGAGGAAAACAACAACGCCTTGGTCAATCATCCATCCCATATTTACCCGTCTTTGCACTTACTGGAAGGCATCTCTTCCTGCAATCGTGATGATGATGAGGAAATCGAATCAGTATTAGCTATACACATAGGATCATGCGGTGCCGTTGTTTACCTTGGGCATGTCGTATCTATCATATTGAAGATGAGTAAGGCTATGGGCACAAAAGTGTTTTTTAACTCACCTTGGGATCTCCTCAGTAGCCCAACGCGTACCATAGATGGTGGTGTTGTGATCCTTAAGGCTCTCATCGGCTTGATCACCAGAGAGACGGGCTATGGTAGACGATGTGAGTACATGGCTTTATACTGCCAACCCAAGTTACTAACCATGAGAGATAGCGTTGGAAAGGAAAACCATAATGTGTGAAAAAGAAGTGAAACCTAAGGTCGTGGCAAAGAAAGGTGTGAAATGCCTTTATATATTAGTGGTGGATATGGGCTACCAGGAGAGGGAAGATGAATTTACACAGAGGTCTCGAGCGATGATTTGGGGGTAGGACGAGCAAATCATCAACGTACATTGAGAATACAACACACTCGTAGGCATATGGGAGATCGCGAATCGAATCACGCGGAGGGCGCTTGGCACAAAAATGTTGCACAGGGTGTATCGATTATGGTCAAGAGCATGCAACTAGAGCTTATTGGGGTGGGATTCCCGATTTGTGCCTCTTTTTCAATGCAAGTAATATGAGCAGTGGTCTTGGACAAGATGAGCGTTGTCTTGTACAATACTCGAATACCAGCTTTACGGACAACTATGTATGCAAGGGGAATGTCTTATGCACAATGTCATCACGTCACTGCTCTTTACATTTTCCGGATACTTGGAAAATGGGTCTGTGCTTTCGATATAGTATGCATTCTGGCATGTTCATATCAACGATCATCCCTTCTTCCTCAACTTGGTCACCGTAACCGCCAAGTCTTTTTTCGGAGAGGACTTGTATACTCCAAGGAGCAGGGTGAGTTGTTGTTCAAATTTCACCCGACGGGTATGCTGACAGCAAGAGTCCGAATAGACACGAGCAAGCGTGTTTTGGTTTTCCCGTACAAATAATACAGCAATAATAAGCGACAATGTATGAAGCAAAAGCCAAGAAACAGGGCACTGCATCTGAAACAAGTATCAAATACAAGCAAAAGAATGACATGGAAAACTAATGACCTCGATTCTAGCGCACCACCATTCAAAGGCGCATGACCTGTCATTGCCTGTATATGTCACAGAGAGATAAAAAGTGGCACATTCCATAGCAAATCGCCACACCTATTCCTCGTTCCCCTATTTCTTTAGTCCTTAAGCGGGATAGATCGGATAAAAAGAACAGGCATGAGACATGCATACGATTGTAACACAAAGTTGTGTGCCGCACCCATCTCGGAGCTCAAGCACAAAAAGGCACTTTTATGCATTGCTCGTATTTACACACACATGCACACACATACGCAAATGATGGTTCTGAAATTGGCAGTGGCAAGCATTTATTTCAACAAAGAAGGATCCATATTAAGCTAATGAATGGATATCCCAACTCAGGTACGATTAGTAGTAACACTTTAGCTCCTACTGAGCGTGAAGCGGTAATAATGACCTCATCGATCAGCACAACTAAATATAGGCAATTTTTCTCTTCGCGGCTTAAAGAGCAAATGAATGCAGGATACTGTTCAACCCTCTCACAGTGTGGCTAGGTTGTAACACCATTCACTCCACACACGCACGAACCCCGTCTCTTCCACCCAACCTTCTGCCAACCACCATCATTCATCCCTTCTTCTTCTTCTCGTATCCATAATAATAGCACTCGTATATTGATAAACCAATGTCTTTATGCGATATGAGGCGCAAATCTCAATGATCCAACGTATTTGATTGTTGTATGTCCCATAGTTGTGACAAAATACAGCGTTGTTGAGAGCTTCACATACATTGCTGCCCATGTACCCTTGTTAGCCATCCTCTCATCTCGTTGCTCCTTGCCAACAATCCACCAACAGATCCCAAGGTCATCCCATATCCATAAATCCGCTCTCCAATACAATGCAAAGATCCATGTATTCGAAATGCACGTGTATATATGCTATCATCGATTCTGAAGCACTTCATTCATGGCCTCCAGGGTCTATCACGGCGAAATCAGACATTGGTGATGATGATGAGACATGTGGTTGTTTTCAGCTTACCAATTTGATGTGGGCTTTTATCTTGTCAGCTTCTGCTGAACGTTTATCCGCAATCCTGCAAGAGCATCATTAGGAATGGTATCCATGGCATTCATGCATCATTGTACATACTTGTCTAATCGTTCTACGTTCTTGTCGATAAACGCCATGGCTTCATCCAATGTAAACTGAACATGTAATCCAAATCCAACGTTGACAAAGATGTATTGTGTATCGGGTCTACATGACAACATCCATCAGCACATCGCGTCCATATAGACACCTCCCACTATAGCACTCACATGTGAGCCTGCACATAAAACTGGTTGCCGATATCCGTCATGGTCTTCATTTCCTTCAAGTTGCAGTCTTGGATCGTTTGAATCTGTGCCTTGAGCTTTTGACTTGACCCATGCAAACGAAGAAAGAAATCTTAGTCGACAATGGGCATTGGCATGCAAAGGAGATCCACCTACTATTCTGATATAGTGCTGTAGATTGTATCCCGTGAATCGAGCACCGTCTTTAGGTTGGGTTTAAGCTTGAGATTGATAAACTCGTCATATTTGCTAAGCAATGTTGCAACGTTGTCTCGTGCCATAAATGTATCTGTGTTGGAAAAAGAAGTATGTTGCATGACAGCTGGATTCCCCTTTCATTGTAAGCAGGTGGCTTACGCTATTCATTCACCCTCATATATCATGCAATTGACAATGACCCTATACTTCCCTATCAACGTATCATGTTTCGACTACATCCATGATTTGGAGGGAGGTTGATGCTTGTTTATAGCTGTAATCCACTATGCATACCTATCCGACATCCTCCTTGAAGATGCTCGATCCATGCAAGATATCTAATCCTCAGCTAATGCAGCAATATGATCCTCGGCTTCGTGGCTTCTTCCATCTGGATATCTGAAGCGATCAACTAAATGATATCGACCACCATCACCCTTGCAATGGAGTCTTCACCATGGTTATACTCACAACCTCAGAGCATCTCTCATCTTGCCTTATATTGGTTGTTCTCATACATTACATCCTTCAATTTATGTGGACTCATCTCTACGTTGCTATGGCAACCTTGATCGAGGACAATGAAACACTGTTTTGCTATCATCAACTTTGTCAACATAATAAAACCCTTTCCCATCTACTATCATGCAATTCCATCTTTAATGCCAAATGCGAGAAATCTCTATTCTAATAATACTACAACGAATGTTCATTGTATCCGTTGCCTAGGGCATAAGAGAAGTGTAAGGTGATGGTGATGGTGCTGGGATTTGGGGATCCGGATCGGGAAACGGAAACGCGGAGACGCGTGATCACTTGGATACAGGTACACCTGATTTACCACATTCTTTTCTACTTTACACACAACACACACATACACACAACATGACTGATACACTTGCATTCCGTGGTACTTTGGAAGGTAAAGAATCATCACAATAGCGATGGATGAGTGGATGAATCAATGGATGGATGGATTGGTGGTGACATGGATTATGGATTAATGGTTGGTTGTATAGGTCACAACGGCTGGGTCACCTCCATTGTCACCTCTCCCGAAGCTCCCGACATGGTCATCTCGGCATCGCGCGGTAATTCTCGACGGCGATAGACAACAAACCGAAAAGAGTGTCGTGGCTAATATTCATGGGGGTCTCATCAGACAAGTCTATCATCGTTTGGAATATCACAAGGTATGTGTTTTGATCACGTGATTGATGGCATCAATGTGTACTCATGCTGGATAGGTGAGCCCCTTTTTTTCTTTTGTAGTGAATGGGATGATGGTCTTGTGGGGGGAAAAAAGAGGGGAAGCATGGATCTTGCAAACGCCTACTAGTTGAGGTGAATGCCGTTTCTTTGCGTGCCGTTTCTTTGTTCCTTTCATTATACTCTGAAAAGAGGAAGGGGATAAGAATGGTCGACAGGAAATTGCTCACGATGGCCCTTTTACAGGGATGAAATTAACTATGGCGTGCCTCGCAAATCCCTCCTTGGCCACAACCACTTTGTTGAGGATTTGGCCTTGTCATCCGACGGTCAATTTGTGCTTTCGGCTTCCTGGGACAAGACCCTTCGCTTGTGGGATCTCAACACTGGCACCACCACTCGTCGCTTTGTTGGTCATACCAACGATGTGCTCTCCGTTGCCTTTTCGGTTGACAACCGTCAAATCGTTTCCTCCTCGCGTGATAAATCTATCAAATTGTGGAACACCTTGTAAGCATTATTGGATTGTATATAGACGACTATGGCTAATGATGTATGTATAGGGGTGAATGCAAGTACAACCTCGTTGAGGATGGTCATAGCGGCTGGGTTTCATGCGTTCGTCTTTCACCTAATCCTGCCAACCCTGTCATTGTTTCTGGTGGCTGGGACAAGCTTGTCAAGGTAAGAAATCACCTTCAAGAGAAAATGGGAATGGCAAGCATTATGATGAACAACTTGAATATTTGCTACTTCAGAAGCCATGAGTGGGCTTATGAGACCAACATACACATTCTGATTGCTGTCATTCTCATTTTACTTGATCGATTTGTCTTTATGATTCACATTTATCTAACGTTCAATCTACATTAGGTGTGTATTGATTCCTTGTTGATTGTATGCTCGTTGCCATCTCCTCGTCTCTATAAGGATGACTTGTTTTATATATTTGCTACTTCAGAAACCCTGGAGAGTTGGGTTAATGCGAACGACTATACCACATGGCTGAAAGAGACATATACGAAGGAGCATGAGCAGAGTGTATCTTTGGATGGCATGTTTTGCTAATGGATCTTTGTTGTTGTATGATAGGTTTGGGACCTTAGCAAGCTCAAGTTGCGTGCCAACTTCGTTGGCCACAATGGCTATGTCAACGCCGTTACTGTTTCCCCTGATGGCTCGCTTTGTGCTTCTGCTGGCAAGGATGGTCAAGTGATCTTGTGGGATTTGAATGAGAACAAGCACTTGTACTCGCTTGATGCCAATGATGAAGTCCACGACCTTATCTTCTCCCCCAACCGTTACTGGCTTGTCGCTGCTACAGGTGCTTCCATTCGCATTTGGGATCTCGAGAACAAGAGCATTGTTGATGTCCTTCAACCTGAATTTACCAACAAGGGCAAGGTGCAAGATCCCCAGTGCTTGTCACTTGCATTCTCAGCCGATGGCAACACCCTCTACTCCGGCCATGCAGACAACTTGATCCGCGTCTGGCAGGTGTCTCGCACTTTGTAGTTGTAATCACAATATAGCATAGCTCGGTTTATACTACGGCATAACAACCTCCTTTTGCAAATATCATTTCATTGTTACTCCCTTGCAGCAATTATGTCCCTCTTTCCTTTTCTGGTTCTTTTTTCTAACACATGGCTGTTTCAACAAGCTTGCGGTTGTACCTTATATGCGGGTAAAGTGGATGTGCAGATGCAACAATGACTTGCAATATTGGGTGTGTACTTGTTCTGATTGTGCTTAGCTTTGTATCATTGGGTGGGCTCATGGTAAAGCAACATGGGATATCAAATGGTCCAAGACAAGCATATGAAAACTAGGATTTGGTTACATTATAGTATGGGTAAGTATGCTTTTGTCATCTCCCACAGGTTAAATGCATATGGCTTTATCAATGCGTATATGTGTGTGTGCGCTTGGGCATATGTAGATATGATAGCGGATGCTTATCAGGGTGCCTGGTGCTGCAAGATTTCCAAGTCATGTTTTCAGTTGGCAGCGTAATGAACGCTTCGATCATTGTATCAGTGCCTTTGGTGGCATCGGTTTTTGCATCCGTGGTATGTATGAAATCGTATATGGGAAGCATGTTTTGCTAAGAGTTTACTCAATAACGCTCGTCACCGTCATTGTTGTTATCATCGTGACCCACCAACCTGCATACCTCATGCAGCTATCAGGACCTGTTGCAGACCGTATTGGTCGAAGAAACTATTTCTTTGTTGCCACCATCGTGAAAATCATAGGCTCGATGATCGAGATCACCGCATCAAACTTTGCAACCTTGCTGTTGGGCCGTATCTTGGCTGGTGCAGCTATTGGGTAATCAACAAGGCACATTGATTTAAAGTTTCTATTTGCTCAATGCATGAAGATGTGCTCTAGTGTGTTTAGCATGTTGACTCCTTTGTGTAAGCAAGCCCCTGATGATGCACAAGAGCATGGCTTACACATATCAACGCATTGTTCCACATCATAGATCAAAGTGAGATATCACGGCCCGAGCACCGTGGACGACTAATTACCTTTTACCAACTTGGCGTCACTATTGGATTTTGCATGGCTTTTTGGATCGTATATGGGACAAGTAGATTGCCTAACAATTTATCCTGGAGGTAAAGCTGAGCATTTTTCAATGATGCGTAGTATACTTTGAGATTCATGCAGGATGGCTATAACAACAAATATAGAATCCCGATGTGCCTTCAGATCTTACCACCGCTGATTTTATTCGTTGGTCTCTTCGCATTACCCGAAAGGTAAATAATCGATCCTAAATAGGAGGAGGGAAGCATTTGGCATTTGTTTATGTGGTACAGCATCCTCACTTTTTCATCTCTGGTGACAATTACCATCCCGTAAATGCTATCCTTCATAGTCCGCGATGGCTGATTTACAAAACGAAACGTCGGGATGAAGCATTGGCCATCCTTACGCGCTTACGCAGTGGGCAGGACATCAGCATCATCCAAATGGAATGTACCAGTATTGAACAAGATGTCGCATTTGATGCAAAGTATGCATCTAAAGGTTATTGGACGCTGCTGGAGAAAGGCATTGAAAACAATCGACGTCGTACATTACTTGGCATTGGTATCCATGCACTTACACAGCTCACCGGTATCAATGTCTTGTTGTAAGTTTCATAGCAACGAGCGGTGTTTGCTCTACTGATGAAGCGTATAGATTTTATCTTCCACACATCTTGCAATCCACCGGTATTACAGAGGTCAACTCCGAGTTGTTAGGTTTGTTGACAAGAAGGTTTCTTTTTTGCTGCTTTGCTTTTGATCCCATGACAAAATGTGTAACCTTGTGGCGTGTGGAACCGGGGTGATTTGATCAATTATAGGTAACGGCGTAAGCGGAATGGTGAACATGCTTGCTACCATCCCCGTTTTCTCATTCGTAAGAATCGTGGATCGCCATTGTGTCATACAACATGGGTTAACGTGAACATGTGTGTAGATTGACAAGTGTGATCGACGACGTATTTTAATACGAGGATCATTGGTGATGGGTGTATGCATGATGACTATTGCTGTCATGTTGGGCGTATTCCATGATAGCGATCATAATGCACTTGGCATGGATGATGATACTCCAAACAAATTGTCACCAAGGATGATGGATTTCCTAGGCGATGATGGGCCAACATTTGCCGTGTTGGCATTACTATGCCTCTTTATTACATGCTTTGCCCTTAGTTGGGGTCCTCTTGGTTGGATCTATCCTGCAGAAATATACCCACAATTGATTCGTGCAAAGGCTATGGGGCTTACCACTGCCGCCAGCTATTGTTTCAATGTCACTATATCACAGATCGCTCCCGTTCTTTTTCGTACCATTAGCTGGGGCACCTATGTCGTCTTTGGGTGCTTTTGTCTTTTGATTGCGTGGATTGTCCACAGCTTCTATCCCGAGACAAGGGTATGTGTTGGGAACATGATGCATACACACATGAGTTACGCGCCTTTGCGACACATGCCGATGTTTATTTATTTGCTATTTCTGATAAGAATGCCCGATTGACAACTCTAAATCTTTAGGGAAGGTCGCTAGAAGAAATACACTTGATATTCAGCAATGCCATTCTTATGAATGAGCGAGCTGATGCACATCATCCATCAACAGCAGCTGAAGCATTGGAACATCTTGAGATAATTGATGGCAAACATCACAAGCAGCGGCAACATCGACACCACCCCAATAACAACAACAGCAAACTCGACGACGCGTCTTCTTGATTTGGTGCATGTGAATCACAATGAGATATAGACACGACGACAAAAAGCTGACTCTATACGTAAACAAACGCTATCGCCTGTTGCGGGAATTCCGGAGCAAGTCTATAATACTGCTTCTCCTTGCATGTTTTGTTTAGAATCACATAAAGTTAAGAATCCAGACTCCACTTGTTCTCATTATCATCTTGCTTGTGTATCCAACATAAAGCACACTCCTCTTTTTCTTTGCTTACTTTTATGCACAAATCAATGACTTGCTGAAGAACGTAAAAAAAGGAGCAAATACGAGAATGGTGTGTGAGTGGGAATGAGATAATGTATAAACACGAGCATGTATGCAAACGGCCCATGCGTTGTTCACACTCCTTCATTCCACCCCGATCATCTCTCCTTGTCAAAAAAAGACAGAGATTACCGGAATAGGACATGCCGAAGAAGAAGAGGCGTGTGTGTTGTGTGTGGGGGTGATGATTGTATATGGGTGAAGATTACACAAGGCGATCCTGTGTGTGTCGCCTATTCGGAGTGTGGTCCGAAACTCATGGGCGATCAGCAGGAAAGGGGATAGTGGGTTCCATTGTGGCATCAAAATACAATAACAATGAATGCAAAACATATAAAGGGCCATTCATTTCACTCCCTTTCCACGTTTATCTCTTTTGTTCCTTTTACTCTTTTACCAACGATACCCAAATCGACCACCTTTACTATAAATTACGCCGTCGCTTGATCATGCATAGCACCATGCTTCAACCATCGGGTCGTTCAGCCATCCCACAATCCATTTACACCGTGTACCATGCAAACGCTTCCTCCTCAAAACCACTCCCATCCGTTCTTATTGGTACGCACATCAACAGCAGCATTCAAGGGTGCTAGCTCACCCCCCTTCTTGTATCCCAAAAAAGTCAAAAATGCTAATACAGTGTATATTATGCACGAACCAATAGACTTTATCGCTATAGCACTTTGCGAAGTCATCCCTTTTCGTGTGTTCCGCCGCCGTTCCATGCAGCAACTAAATCCACAAAATCAACATGTTCAGCAAACCCAATCACACGCACGTCCACGACGCTTGCCAGAGCTCCTTTACTTTATCCACAAAGTCACATACCAAGCTGGTATCAATTGCCGTACAGCTCTTGTTGCTCTCATCTTGCTTGATCGTGCCAAGGCATCATTACCCAAGAATGCCGTCAGTAGTTATGGTGAGTAGCACACACCACGCATAACCGAGATCTTGGACCCCCACATATTAACCATGACCAATCACGTCTTAGACACATCCCATCGTCTTTTATTGGGTGCCTTACTCACAGCAACCAAGGTACTTCAAGGTACCGTGTGGGCCCCAGCTACACCACCATTGACCAATCAACGCCTATGTGACATTTGCAATGGTCTCTTCTCTTTGAATGACATCAACCAAGTAGAGCGTGCCTTTCTCAAGTTGATCCAATATCGATGTTGGGTTGATGATAAGGATGTCAACGATTATGTCATTCGCCACCGCTCTGATTTCGCCTTGTAAGACCATCCTGGTGCACCATTACCATCGTTATCACCCACCCAACATTGATCCTCCATGTCTTTACGCATCCTCATGTAATCTTGTGTATATATACTTCTTCTTACAAACCACTGTATATCGTACTCTCGTTCTTCAACATACCCATATATCCCTTTGCTTGCTTGTATAGCCCCTTTTATCATACGGAGCATTGTTCATGCTAATATTATTTCTTTGTGATTTTGTTCATTGTCCATACGTATAATAATGAGATGTTGGTTTATTCAAAGCTTTCCGGTATAGGTGAGGAGATTATGGTTGTTGTGATAGTCCTTGGATGCTGACGACATGTGCAGAGTATCCTTGCTGGCAAGGGTCATAAGTTCTTGATAGATGTTATTCACTGATGGATAGCTCTTTTGTCTAAGTATCATAGCCTGGGGCATATGTACATACGCCCTCATCACTTCACTTTTTCTCTCAAGGCCATCCCACTACACGCTCCTTATTGTATCACAAGAGCCATATCCTTCTTGCATGACCGATAAACGGACCACCTTTATTATTCCATCTTCGAAGCAATAGCATCTAATCCACAAGCTAGCAAAGTCCAAGCGAGTATGTAATAAATAAACAACGCTTTATTTCATCTAGCTATCTTGCAACATTGCCACCATCGCCGTCCCTCATCGTTCGTATTCCTATTCATACTCGTACTCGTAAGCATCACCAGTCGTCAATTTCATCGTCGTCACGAATCTCAAAAACACGTAAAGAGGCCAAATGGGATCTTGCAGGCTTCCTTTTGTATCTCGTTGTCGTCATCATTGTCATTGTTGTGGATGGGGGTGATCATCGTAATCGTCATTGTTGTGAATGTGGTAATCATCGTAATCGTCGTCTCTATAAATAAGAAAGCAGGCAAGTTAGACCATCTGGTACCGGAATGATGACGATTTGGTATACCGTTAGGCTATCCTCTCTAAGGAAGAAAGCAAATCAGAATGAATTCACAAACCAAATCACCGCCATACGAGCAACGTCGGGCGATCCCTTGTTCTTGAGAAAGCACTGCACGAATCACGCAAGGCCAGTTCGATCCATGGCAAGGAAGGACATCACTTACGTAGAGTCCAGGCTCAATGTTGTCCTCATTCATCCTCTCCAAAGAAAGAATGCTCCCCAATCCAATCCTTCCAATCATTTCCCACCTCATGAAAAGAAATCCCCAAGGGAAAGAACGAGCCTATCACGAGAAGAGCGTGTTGGTTGGCACTGATGTCAACACATTCACAAGTTGTTGCAAATCCCCTTTTACCTCAACACGGTGACCATGCTCTTCCAAAAACCCATCGTCGTCGACCCATCAACTCAACGCAGGCCTGTAGAGCCCTGGACGCGTTCCAAGAAGCTTTTCCAGCACACTTGGCTAGTGCAGAGCGACGCAGCGGCCACTTGATACAGGCTGGGAAGTGAACCCAAAGAGATGATGATGATGATGCCCCAAGTTGCATTTGCCTGACCAAGGAAACCTATTCAATTCATTATTAGCACACACGCACAATAAGCACCCTTATCATTGTTTGTTTCATTGTACTTGCCTTTTCCATATACATGAAGACCCGTTGTTGTTGGTTACTGGAAACCGAAAACCATGGTGTAGTGTAGTTGAGCCGAAACAAAACGCCAAACCAGCCAACGCCTTGAAACCAAACTTGCTCTCTATACAAGCTAACACGTCAATGGAACCAATTCGGCTGCAACATTGGACTCTGAATGTACCTGTTGACACCAAGCGTAGAGAGGGAATAGCAACGAGCAAAAGGAAGCAACAATATCGCCATGGCAACCACCAACCAACCACCAACCACGCATTCCTCAGCACTTGGACACACTCACTCTCCCTGACAATGCAAGTTCAGAACTACATTAACACCTCACTGCCAACAAGAGCACTTTTTTATAATACATTACCTTGATCGAGATGTCGTGAATGGGATAAGGAAAGGTGGGAGAAAAAGAAGAGGAGCGTTGTCTCAAGTCGTGGAGCTGCTGTCCCCCAAGTTTAAATCCCCCTACTGCTATTACACTGAGGCCACTCAAAGACCCAATACACCCATCCACCCATCATCATCATTACCCTCACGATAGACAATAAGTACACGTAAATAAAAGAAATGATCCTCACGTATAGCAAAAGGGTGTGTCTCATTTTACCCTTTAGGTGATAATGCTGATCCAACAACAGCCATTGCCTTACTACCAGGTCAGCTCGAAGATGTCTATCACCATTCACAGCTGCAAGTACCTCGATCAACTTTGTATCCTTGTGAAGAACGCAGTTCATCCTTTACAACCCACAAACGGCAGCTGCCTCCATACCTTGTACACACATACCATTTGTATATATATATACGTATCATTCGTACTATACATAAATGCATAAAGACAATGAAGATGATGATACTGGATACACATTGGCATTGTGGATGATAGACTTCATATAATAATGAAGTATTGGTTTATTCAAAGCTTTCCGGTATAGGCGAGGAGATTATGATTATCATAGTCCTTGGATGCTGGTGACATGTGTAGAATATCCTTGCTGGCAAGATTCATAAGCTCTTGATAGATATCATTCACTGATGGATAGCTCTTTTGTCCAAGTAACATAGCTGCAATGCCAGCAACATGTGGGTTGGCCATGCTTGTACCATCCATGCTATGGCTATCGGTACCGAGCCAGCTGCTTGTGATATCAACACCTGGGGCATACATACGTACGCATTTGCCAAATGAGCTAAACACTGCAACGTTGTCTTGGCGATCTGATGCGCCTACAGCAAAGACGGCTGGGTTTGCAGCAGGCGTGTATTGACATGCATCGTCACCTGTGTTACCGGCGGCGACAAAAACTGGAATTCCGTGATCCACAGCTGCACTTGTAAGGGCATCATCAATCGTTTTGGATCGTGGCCCACTCAATGATAGGTTGATGATACTTTTGCCACGCTCGGCCTTTGCACTAACCATGGCAATAGCTATAATAATTTTTCGCTCAGCCATAAAAGGCATGTGTTTGATGATGCTTTTTACCTCGGATCAAATCAACAGTGGTACCATCACCGCTACCATCAAGAATCTTAATGCTGTGAATAGTGGTGTGTGGTGCTACACCAAAAGTGGACCCGCCGATGATACCAGCCACGTGGGTGCCTACATTTGCAACACCGGTACATGTACACAAAAAAAAGGAGCCCGCCTTTGTCAATGAAAAGAAAATGAAAAACAAACATTACGATAGTTTTGTCATACCATGACCGGATGTGTCACTGTCGTCTTCGTAATCAATAAAGTTGGCGGTGTGAAACGCTCTTCCTTTGAGATCGGGATGCTCGGTGTTGATACCTGTGTCAAAAACATACACATGTACCCCATTTCCTATAACGGCATTGTCATCTATCATTCGCGTCGTCAAGTCACCACCTGCATCTCTTTGATTGATTCGTGCAATGCCCCAACTTGGTGCTGGTTCCACATGCTGTGACCCTGGTACAGCAGCCTGCACCTTGTACACTTGATTCGGCTCCACATAATCGATGGCGTCCAATTGGTGTAAGTATTCAGCAAAGGCAGGATCAAAGGCTCCCACCACAGCTGAAAATCCATTGCCCACTTGAATTGTATCCATGTTTGGTGCTTGTGCATTGGCTGCTTGCATACTCACTCCACCATTTCCACTGCTTTCGCTACCAGCTGCTTGTAATTGCTTCATACGGTACATGGCCAAATGCTGCCGAATAAATTGGCTTGGTTCATAAGCTACTTTTTATATGAATAGGATGTATGTACAAGTGCACATTCATTACCTGTGGTTGTGTCATTGTTGTTTTGTTGTTTGAGCTTTATGATGTGTAGGCCTTGGCTGGTGGTTGCTGCGATGGATCCGGTTGCCACGTTGTTGTCGGAGTTGTTGACTTGTGCCACAGCTGCATGAATCGAAAAGAGTAGCCATGCAACGGCTGCTGTGCTGGTAATGCCTTTCATGATAATAACGAAAATGAAAATGGTCAATGGTTACGCTGTATTTAAAGCCGTTTCCTTTTTGCCACCCAAGGTTCAAAAAACAAATCAACATGGACAAGTAGACAACAAAATCAGCCGCGAGCAAATATGTAAAGAGGAGGTGATTGGTTGAAGCAAACAAGAAAGATCCTCGACTTTTATGGTGACTGGTAGTGTACAGCACACAAACATTTTTTTTCTCTCTCTCTATGAAGAGCCATCAAGAGCACGCCAACGTGCACCAAACTTGTGGACAAGGTAAATGCATACACCGCTAAGTAGGCTGACAATGCTAAGAATGGTCATGGCCCAGCCGTTTCCAATTGCCTTTAAAAGAGCAGGTGCTAGCAACGGGGTACACCCTGCACAAAAGCTGCGTAATAGATTTGATGCTCCTACCACAGAAGCCGAGTATCCTTGGTAAGCATCCACAAGGTACGTGTTGCTAGGCGTTTGCACTACTCCAACTCCCACGCCCACTATTGAAGTGAATCAACAACACACATTCAAAAGCATGATGAATCAGTTGACTTACGTAAAAAGAGACCTGTCAAACCACCAGCCAAATGTATACGATTTTGGATACACCATCCATACATGAGCTCGCCTAATGGCAAAAGAAGGATACCCAACCACATTGCTTGTAACCGACGCTCTGGTTGTTGCTCTTGTTCTCGATTTTGGTCCAATTGTTCTTTTGAATCCGGTGGATAAGCAGCTTCCTTGTCATGGTGTACGATGGTGTCATTATCTGAAGCGTTTGTACTCCCACGACTCAACATCCAGTCAGCGTATTTTCCTGAAAGCACAGCGCCAACAGCGTTACCAACACCATTGGCAAGGTATGACAATCCAATTTGTGAGCTTGTCAGGTGGTATCTGTAGCCGAGTTGATGTGGCAATGTAGAGATGACAAAATACATGAAACCATATGCTAGGGCATAAGGAGCAGAGGCCAAGATGACAACGGGCTTCCATAAAAAGGCGAATGGTCGAGAAAACGATCGTAACATGGACACCTCTTTGTGTTTGGTTGATGACGTTGAGCGTCGTTGTTGTGTTTCGGGAAGGAAGAAGAGCATGAGCAATAGCACAAAACCACCCATACCGGCCAAGGTCCAAAAGATGTATCGCCATCCAATATCTTTTTTACAAGAAGAATGAGTACATGGATAACACACTTTACGCATACACGCACACAATGCAACGCACAATAAAAGGACACTTGCATTCATTAATATAGCCACCAGCAATTGGGCCTACAACAGGTCCAATCAGGGGTCCGAGTAGGAATAATCCCATGGCACTGCCACGTTCCTGCATTGTAAAGAGATCTGAAATAGTACCAGCACCCACCGCTTGTGCTGCACTAGCACCAATGGATTGTAGTATACGTACTACGACAAAGACACCAATGTTCTTTGACACTGCACATCCCACCGTGGATGCCACATAAATCACTGTTGAGCCAATGTAAATGAATCGACGTCCATGCCATTCTGACAATGCTGCCCACATCATTGGCTACATAAAAAATTAGCCAGCGATCTACGTGCATGAGTCGTACAAAGACTTACAGCCACGCCCTGAATAAAGACATACAATGAAATGGTCACATTGATCACCGTACTCGATGCACCAAGCGTTATCCTCACTTCATGCACAGCAGGTACCTACATTATGCATCATCCATTAGATTGATGTCAGCGTGTGTCATCGCACATTGTGTATCCCACTTGCATAGATAGAACTACTAAGAGGACCGAGGAAACCTTGTAAGGCGACAATGAAAAGAATGAACCATTTTCGAAATTTCGAAAACTGCACGTGGTCAATATCGAACGGCTCAATGATATCTCTCTTTTTATCTCTCTCACCTCTTTGACTGCCACAGCCGTCTCAGTGCTAGCTGTGGGGGTAATAATGATTACTTCTAAATCATCGGGTAATCCACTTTCTTGTTGCTTGAATGCTGTTGTTATTTCATTTGATGATGGTTCCTGAGAATGATCGGGTGCTGCAATGATCTGCTTTTCGTCACCGATAACAGTAGTAAGACTCTCTTGATCCCCTTGTGGTGCTGCAGCCATTGGTATATATGTATGGGGTAGTATGCAGAAGGGAGAAGAATGACAAAGGAATGACTTGGATGCAAAGGGGGGAATAGGTAAAATGGGAGAGCACAAGAGAGAGAAAGAGAGAAAGAAAGAGAGCTAGAGAATGATGGTGATAGTAGGGAAAAGATTAAGGATGTGTGTGTGGATCGAGTGAGTGAGTGAGTGAGCGAGAAAGAAGAAAAGATAACACAAATGGGAAAAGGCCGGAAGGAAAATGGATGTTTATCCTAGGTGTTCGGAAAGTAAGCCTATCGACGTAGGGTGTGAGTGAATGAATGATGCTATTCTAGTTTCAGTAAAAGCAACAAAAGCCATGATGATATGCCGGTTTCTTTTTCTAGTCAACAAGACTTCCTTGGCAATGAGGATGCACCCTTTTCTACCTTCTCCCCTTGAGCACCCCTTCCATTCTGCAAGACTATCTATGCATGAGCGAACAAGTAAAGCACCATTGTGATTACATATTGGTTACTACAACAAGTCCTTTGAACAATGAAGGCCATAATCATACAAAGCCGCTCATGGATTCAATAACCTTGTGATGACTTGCATAGATCATAATTGCAGATGGCTATAACGTGGGTTACCTCTGCTGATTCATGTTAACCCATCGTGCTTCGTGTGTGATAGAAAGTAAGTTTGTTTGCATTTTGACAAGTATACATGGTATATGCAAACCATATGATTGCGTCAAGTAATTGCAAATTTGTCCGAATCGGCAAGCCGGTTTATGGGTGGGTACAACACCGGGATCTCTTTTTCATGCAGCAAGAAAACAACATCACATAAGCTCCGCTACTACAAATATTGAAAGTGCTAATAGAGCCAATTCTATTTACAATGCGCGTAAATGCGCCAATTGAGGATGGGTTTGTACATATATAGGAGGAGCGTGTGTGTGTGTATGAGTGTGTATGTAAGTGTATGTGGGTGTATATATGTGTGTGTAAACAGGGCACTACTTTAAGCCGATAACCACCGCCGGATATGATTATAGTTGTCCGCCTCATGCTTCGATCTCATCTAACATGCCTAGCGTTCCCGATGCAAGATCCTCAAACTTACTCAAAGCTTGTGCAGCTGCAGCATGTGTCAAATCATTCTTCCTGAAAAAGAGTAGCTCGTCTTCCCAAAGAACAACCGGGTCATATTGCTCGAGATCCTTGGTCACCGCATGTGGTTTACGCTTTTCGTTTGGATCGAAATCTCTAATATCACTATACACGCACATTGTGTCAGTATACATCTTCTTTGATTTCCCTATCATCCTACTCACGTGTCGCTTATCTCGTAGAGATCTTTGATCAATTGCTTGGTGCGTAATAATATATACATAGCAATGGCCGACTTGGCAGCTGCATCGTGACTCATGGGTGGCTCAGTGGTTTCCTCGCCTTCAACATGGTCGTCATTGTTCTTTTGAGACTGCAAACGCACCAAGAGATCAGCACAAAACGTGGTTTGGATGCGTTCGATTTGGTACAGCAAGTATAGCACCTCGTCAGATTGTGTGAAGTCGAGTGTTGTCATGTTGTCGGCAACAAAACGAAGATAATGGATATCGATCTGCTTTGGTGTATGCATACAAAATGAGTTTTCGGATCCATATCAAAGCATTCATATAGCTTGAGCTCACCTCAGTTTCTGCCATGTCTTTTACTTCAAAGCGAAATGGTCGAACGAGAGCACTGATGAAATCCAACTTTGGCTTGGCAACTTGTTTGATGACAGTGTACGTCAATCCCAAAAGAGCATCCATTTTGGCATCCCCACCACGCTTTCCATAGCCATGAACTCGTTCACCAAAGAGCAGCCTTTGATACTCGAATGCTCGTAGTAGGTACTTTGGTAGCTGCGAGTACAATAGCATCCCGTACTTGTCGTGAGCGAAGCGATGTAGGTAATATGCTCTCATTCGCAAAATAGGATCAGGGCTTGTCTCAGCAGCAACAATGATGGGCATGCACTGTAAAAGAAAAGAAGAACAATGAGCAACCCCCCTTATTTTCAATATTCCTTTTTCCATTTCCCTTACCAATACTGGATGAGCTAAGCCTTGATGAATAATAGCAGCTACGACTTCAAAAGCGGCGTGTCTCAAATCGCTCGAATCGCTCATTGCACATTGGACAATTTCGGTCAAGTAGCGTTGCATGATCGATCCATTCACACTATTCAATCATCCGACGTGAATAAAACATTCTTGCTTATTGGATCATCTGATTGTATCTTACCCAAGCTCTGCAAATTCTGCCGTATTGCCGAGCAATGTCTCGATATCAATATCCTTGTGATATAACGATTCACCAGCATCTATGCAATCACTCGCCACATTAGCTATTGATCTTGTGTACCACGTGTAGATCATGAGAATTACCTTGTTCTCGCTGTTCAAGTCTCACTTCCTCGGTATCCAAAAACTCGCGAAAAACAATCATCAGCTGTGTTTGCAGGTCTTGATTATCTCGTTCAAAGATTTGATCCATAAGCTGAGTGCTGGCATCCTTTGTCATGAGCATTGGGTATCTTGTGTACATGTATCCAAGACCTTGAAGAGCCGCTCTCTGAATTTGCGCTGTTTCCGCCAAACCATGATCATCCGTGAACCAGTATAAAAGATCAAAGACATGTGACACAAGGCTCCCCTGAAAAATGGTCATCTTGTGAGACAACTGAATCAAAGTTTTCATGCAACCTTAATACAAACCTTGGTGATCTTATCCAAGGACGACATTTGTTCAGGGTTCTCGGCTCGCTTGGCATCGAAATCGACGTTTTGGCAAAGAACACCACAAATAGCCAAGATTTTCATCACGCCACTAGCAGGTCGATCCAATGCGCCCGATTGTTTGATCTTGGTTTGGATACCTTGCAACTTAACTAGTTTCCTTATCAGTGGATGGTATTCCATTATCCCTCTTTTGTTACTAACCTATGCAGGAGCCAAGGATTCGAACCAGAATGCCATATCGATGGGAGATGCTTTGTACAATCGTACATAAACATGATACTGCCGAGTCAGTGTACTAGGTGATCGTGATATTAGTTGATAAATCGCGTTTACAAGACGAATCATGCATTTACCTCTTGAGGGCAGGTGCCAATCAATTGAAAGAGGATACGCTCAAGAAGAGCTATGAATTCAGGATCATGGTACTTTTGCTGGGGGAGCACGTCTCTGTAAATATCCAGGACATGACGTGCCATTGGCCAATCATCCTAATAACATGATATTAGCCGAAGCAACAAAGGGGATGGTGAAGGGCGAAAAACATACCAGGTTTGTCACACTAAGGTATGGTTGTAATCCTGATGCCTGAGTCTCGCGTAACAATTCGGGGCATGTGGTGGTGAAGGCATGAATGGCCAAAAGACAATTACCAAACTGCTTCAAATCGTCTTGTTCATCATATTGCAGCACTCGATCAAACAAGCAGTCCACGATCCATTGGAAGTACTTTTCATATGCCTTTTTGCTTTTGACATCACCTTGCTCCATACACTAAATGTATAAAATGTGTGTTAGATAACAAAATCCAAGAATGGGATCAAGGCATCTATGTTCATACCTTTTGGACAATTTGTGGTAATGCTGTACTTTTGTCACCCACTGTGGCTTCCAATCGAGATACGGCTCCAAGAATGATACCTGTCAGCTCATCAATACGCCGCTTGCGTGCCTTGGGTGCATGCGCATACGATGATCCAAAATAATCATTTCCATCCTGATCGATCGATCGAAAGGGTCCAAAGAGAACTTCTTGTGTGCACTTGAATGCCAGGTCGCATATGCTCACTTCATTGTCACTGAGGCGGTGAATGAGCTTGGAAGCAATATCCATCTTGACATCGGGATCACTGCACTTGTAGTATAGGTCTCGAAGCAATTTGACCACCCGTTTGCGGACATTGGCTGCTGTGTCCTATGAATGCAATCAATCAGGATCCATGCTTGGGCAATCTTCAAAATGGGTAACTCACCATAACACGTGCGCTTGCAATCTCGTATAACTTGTGTGGGACTTCAGTTTGTCGACCAAGATACATTGCCAATACCTCCACTGCAATATCACGGATGGATGGTGATGCGTCATGGATCCGTTGTAGAATCGAATTGCGTATCCGTGTCTATGATCATGTTTGTTAATATCCGTCATGGAAATCCCCTTATATGAAAAATACAAACATCATCCAAGACCTCCGGGACCTCGCGCACCAAATGCCGAATTGCACGCACAGCCTTGTTGCGATAAGTGACAACATCCTTATGCAAGCATGTAACGATCTCGGCTAATAATCCATTGTAACTCTTGTAAAGCGTGTTGCGTGAAGCGAGCAATTCAGATATCAATTCAATGTCGGAGGTGTTCATCTCTGGAAATTCAAAGTTGCAGCTCCTATGGATACAATGAATGAGATCTTTTGTGTGCATCACGTACAATGTTGGTTCACAGCTTACCTTTCAAACTCATGTTCCTCACTAAGCTGCACATCAAGGCTGCGACACCATAACTGAGTCACCATGCCTTGAAGCGTGGATAGCAATTCCGCTGACGTGTCATTGTTGTCCTGCTCTTGTGATTGTTGCTTGATAAGTTTCCAGCTAGATGCATATTGCTTTCCCCATGCGCATATTTGAAACTATCAATGTTCGGTCAATTGATCCGTATGGGTGTGAAACTTTTTAAGTAATAACGAACCTGCAATGCTGAACCAGAAACTTGCAAATAAGCGATGCTCTTGAGGACACGGGTTTGGCATTCAAATAAAAGCTGGATCTTGCTTGGCTGAGTATCAGCGTTGATCTAGAGTAAAGAGTGAGCTTCTTGTGCATGCAACCTTGTACTTGAATTGTTGGTATTACCTCGCCCGGAATTCTCTCATACAACTCGCATATCCATTCAGGCGACATGTATCCACCTTTCCCAGTGATCTTATTAGAGCCCATCTTGATTCTGCTTGCAAGGATACCAAGCCATTCAATAGCCAACGACTTGAGATAGAGATCCGACTTTGTTCCTCTTATCCGCTCAATCTATTTTCAAGAATCAATATCATTGCAAATACAAATAACATACACCAACCCACCATTAGTTCACTGAAAGCTTGTAATAACAATTCAGCAGCTGGCCATTCGGGCTTGTTCAACACCGTGATAAAATCTTGCAATGTGCTCTCCAAAATGCCTCGATACTCGGCGATTGAATAGCTGTCTTTGGTACGCGATTTGCATCTAAGACACAATGTTGGTCATATTGGAATGACAAGAACGATAATACACGCACTTACTTTTGGATGACAAAGTTGAGGAGATAGGTTGCACTATCAATGGCCGCTTCCATGGCTGATTGCCAATATCCCATACTTTGTTGCACCAGCTTGCCGTACATTTCTTGAATCTGTGATCGGTCGCTCTCCTTGTGTGCCTTTTGATACTTCATAGTCCACTTTCGCATCCACTGTTTGTGATCCTCCATATCGCCTGAAATCGTACAGCATTGCACCAATTGCATGAACAAGGCACTCATCACGTGGATCTTGGTGTTGTCAGTGAGTCGATAACGTTTGGCACTCCGATCCATGCTGGTTAATGCATTCAAACTTGTGAGGATCTCGGAGAGGATCCATTTGCGGTGGTAGGGAAACTTGTTGAAAAGAATACGAAGCACATCCATGGCCCCCAATTTCATTTGCTCGAATGGATTCACAATGGTGTCACCGCTTTTGCTGGTCACCAGACATGAGTGATTGTTGTCAGTGTAATCATGGAAAAAGGCGCCCAATGCAATATAGCCCAAGACAATCACGCCATGGTCATCAAATCCATCCGCTTCAAGCAGCATCGTGGCTCGATGTAATAGCCGTGTGATCAACGGAAGAATGCGAATCATGTATCTTTTGGCTGTCAAATCGGTCTCGGCAAACTTGAGGAACATGCGTGTGCCATTGTTTACTAATAATAGCGTAAACAATGAGACCCTATTCAATCATTCTTCACCCACCCAAATCACTTACAACTTGTTGTATCTTCTTCAAACGCATTCAAATCAATCAAAGGGTATATAGTAGTCTCCAAATGGTTTCGTGCCAGTTGCAAACATGTCATGACCATGCTTTCAGGGAGATGCTATGGAACCCGTTAACATCTTTCCAAGATGTGCCCTGTACACAATTACCTTTCGATCCACATTGCATCCAGCAAGTATATCCAGCATCATCACCGCTGCTTCTAAGCCATTGGATAGCAATTCCAGTAGTTTGGTCGTAGCAGAGAAATCGGTCACGTGCTCCTCCACTCGTTTGCAGTAATCTCCAATGACATCAATGTCCATGGCACGGATGCAGCTGTTTTCCATCATTTGAAATATTCTTGCCAATCGAGTGGTATCCATTGAATCGAATACTGAGTAATAGGATGCTCTCAATGCCAGGGTGGTGAATTTATGCATTGTCGTTACTTGCAGGCACACCAACTCAGATTTGTCCTTTCCATCCAATGCATCATCTCGCTTTTGCTGATCTTCATCCATATCATGTTCCAGTAAATCATCGACAAAGCGTATAAATCTATCCAGTACGGCTGTATAATAATGCCACTTAGTAAAGCAATCCTATACCATGTTACCATTCCCTTACCTTCACCACGCTCTTCTAATGAACCCATATGCTCAACACGTGTATTGTTGTCTTGACTATTCTCTATGCCATTCTGTGGCTGTTGATCCTCTTTGGGTTGAGGTGTGTCTATGCGTTGATCATCATCGTCCTGCGCAGCAGAGGAGGGTGGTGCCACTGTTGGTACTGTTGCTGGTGGAGGTGCCGCTTGCGATTCGTGTGATTGAAGGATCCGTTGAATGAATGCTCGACGATGTACGAGTGGTTTGTCGTCTTCATCGTCATCGCTGCTATCTGCCGACGAGTTGACGGCACGTTCGATTGGTGCATGGGGTGCCGAATGCGATAATTTGCGTCGTTTTGTTGTCAAGTCGAAGGGTTTCTTGGATCGCGAAGGTTTCGATCGGTGTGTTCTAGTATCCTCAGTGGCCATGGGAATATGTTTATGGGGGGGCGATCGTGAAAGAGAATGGATTGGAGAAAATGGACACACGAGAGACACGCGAAAAATGGACAAGGAACAAGAACCGCGCCCTTAATACGCACACACGGCGCTTTCTTTCATTCAGCCAAAATACCGGCATGTGGTCGACCATTCAAGATCTACCCAACCGATTGGCATCAGCGAGCATTGCCCAGTATCAAAAGCTACCAAAGACTGGTAAACCAGTATCCCATGGCGCCAAAGCTGAATGGACCGTCCTTGCTTGTATTCTTGCAGTGTATGCAGGTAAAGAGATTCACTCACGAACTTTGTATGGGATATTCACTTTTGTATATGAAGAAAGCAAAGACAACTATGACGTTCGTGTGGTATCGCTAGGGTAAGTGATCATACAACAAAAGGGAAGAAGGATATGGAATTACATGTTGATGTTTAACATTGCTTAGGACAGGTCTCAAGTGTCTTCCTTACAGCAAGCTTTGTAACAAGGGCGAGCTGGTGCATGACAGCCATGCTGAGGTGATTGCGCGAAGAGGGTTCATGCGGTAAGTCTTATGCTAGATACTGTGATACTTCATTCTCATCACGTGTCATCTTCAGTTACATGTTGGAGCAATATGAAAAGCAATGCCCCGATAATAGCCCTTTCAAGATGGTGGATGGTCGATTGATGATCAAGGATGGGTACAGTTTCCACATGTATATCAGCCAATCGCCGTGTAAGTACAAGAATGAGATGGATGAGAAATAGGCATCTAATTGGGTCACATACATACATGTAGGTGGTGATGCCTCAATGTCAGCTGTTGCAGAATTGCAGACCGAAGAATCGCAGGCAGCTTTTGAATCAGGATCCAAGAGAAAAGTGATAAAGTACGACATGCTTGACAACAACACGTACGCCAACAAGAGACGCAAGGTATCATCCAATAAGGAGCAACAACAAGCTTTCCATCGAGGAAGATATGGCTTTGATCAATTGGGTATCCTTCGGACTAAACCAGGTAAAGCACGAGAATGTTCAATGATGGATACATATTACGGAAAGACTCATGACGTGATTTGGCGTTGCATAGGCCGCTTGGATTCAGAACCTTCTTTATGCATGTCATGCAGGTATGGAAAAAAAGCCAACACCTTCTGAGATGGGATGATATCATGTTAATCAAGAATCAGTGATAAGTTGGCACGATGGAATGTTCTTGGAATACAATCGGGATTGCTTGCTGATCTCATCGACAAACCGGTTTATCTCGATTCAATTGTTGTGGGTGACATGTATGATCATGATGCGTTGAAACGCGCATTGTACGGGCGATTGGAGAATCTCAAAGGTAATGTGCATATGTCTATTTCTCATGTTGTGGTATTGACTTTTGGTTATGTAGATCTTCCAAAACCATACAAGCTTCATCGTCCACGGATATACCATACGGATATCGAATTTGAATCATCCAAGCTCAAAATGGAAGAGGATAACAAAGGGACCGTAATACCAAGTGGGACAAGTAAGGGATTTTACACTGATTCTTTGCTATTCACAGCTCATTCACACACTCTCCATCAGCCATCTTATGGATACCAGGCATTCAAAAGCCAGAAGTAATAGTCCACGGCAAAAAGCAAGGAGCACCCAAGGGCAAACCATTGACAGCCAAAACACGGTAAGAACACGCTATTGAGAAGCTCGAGTGGCATGTGAACATCTAACGTTGATCCCTTTTTTGGTTGTTTGTAGATCATCAATTTGTAAGCTATCCTTACTTCAACAATACATCAATGCAAGGTAAGAATGAAAAGTCAATGACATGATAAGTGGAAGCTGATTGGATTATTTAAAGGTCGTGCATATCAGAGGAAAAGCAAAGTCGTACTTATCGTGAGTGGAAGCATCAATCAGAGCAGTACCAGATGGCCAAGGATCAGTTATTGGATCAATGCTTCTCCAATTGGGTGCAAACACCTGAACTTTACGAAGAATTTCATGCATTCGAGAACACCGACACCCTGTAAATAACGTGTTACCCATCCTGTTTGACGATTACTTTTTTCAGTAAAGGCATGATAGATCGCTCGCATACAATGGACAAATTGCATGGGGTGTTGAGCAATATAAGCTTCTCAGTGTGTGGCAGGAGGGTATATAAAGGCATTGCTTTAATTGCTTGTTTATGTGATCTAGAATGATGTCAACTTTGGTGGCGCGTCTTTTGACCGCTTTGTGGATCATGCTTGGTATCATCCATCATGTTGGTGTTCATTGTGCTGAAAAGCATATTTGTTTATGCACTACCATTGGTGGTATCTCCGTAAGTATCATCAAAGGATTAAAGAAGATCACGCTAATTGTCATCTTACCAGCATTCACGATGGCTATTCGAAATTGGCAATGTTTTGATAGAGCGAGGTTATCACGTTACGTACATTACGGATGAGTACAATGCTCAGTTTGCCACTGGATACCCTAACTTGGATGTGCAAGCTATTCTACCACCCACGACGGCGATCTACCCAAACAACACAATATTTACATCACTTGATGAGGTAGCCATGTGGAAGTCACTTGAAAAAGTGCTAAAAAGTGGGTATGATGCAAGCTACGACACCATGATGGCGTTTTTCGAGAAGCATTCTCCTGCTATGGTGGTGTGTGACATGATGTTGGATTTTTGTGCTGACGCTGCAAGTGATTATGGTGCGCCAATTGCTATCACATCAACCAGCACAATGATACATCGGCAGCAATCCTTATGCCGTGGTATACCTTTTCTTCTACAATGGCCATGCCGTCATCTAATGCGTCTTTGGTATCCGTTTCTTTGGAAAGACAACAAGGCACATGCACTCAAACTCATCAACAACTACTTTGGCTTGGAACCAGCACAAGATTTTGATCCACTTACACACATGGTGGGCCCTATTCTCCCCGAGCATCAAGAACATGCCTCCAATCTATCCAACGCTGAGACACAATTTCTCGCAACACATACAAAGGTTGTCCTCGTTGCATTTGGTCAACACCAGCTCTTCCACCTCGATGCACAAGAAACAGCAAGTTTAGATACGGCTTTACAAGAACATCAGCGATGTGGCAATGTGGATGGTGTTATTTGGGTGACAAGAGAAAAGCACAACGTATGCAATAACCAGCTATCAACGACAACAAGAAGCCTTGACTCTATGTGTGTGGAATGGATCGACCAGCACGCGATCCTACATCATCCTGCTGTACGACTTTTTATTTCTCATGGAGGCTCTGGAGGTCTTCATGAAAGCTTGGATGCCGCTACACCATTGTTCCTGTTTCCATCCATGGCAGACCAAATACCCAATGCAAAGCAGCTCCAAGCTGAAGGCGTGGCTCGATGGCATCCACGTGCTACTGCTGCTGCTGCTGGTGCGGGTAAAATGGATATCCAAAGGATCATCGAAGATCTCGAATTTCTCTTGAGCTCCGATAATGCACCTCTGCAAGATAGCTTAAAACGACACAAGACACTGGTTGATCTGGGAAAAAGACGTAAACATTACGCTGCGGATTTGTTGGGTATGATCAAGGGACTCGATTGTGCTTGTGAAAAAAGGATCCAATGGCTCATCACTATGTGTTCATAACAGAGGAACTCGTACTTGCAAGCAATGACCATGGACGTTTGGAGCATCGTATCAAGAAAGCGAACATGAGTCTTATCAACACGCTATTGAGCTGGTTTCAAAACAGGCACTGTTGTACGTAGCATATGACAGCATCATTGTATCATTATGTACTTGATTTTACACAATAGCAGATACTATTACCACCATGCATGTTTATTTGTTTGTTACGCAACATGTATTAATTGTTAAGGTGTTGGCGTGTGAGATAGAGATTAGCTGCGTTTTGAAAACTTGATAAAGAGATCTTTTGGCTGCGTAGCTCCTAGACCATGGGTGATAAGACCATTCTTGTGGATCGAATCCTCTGGCAAAGACCACTCATGTTCCCTTACTATGATATTATTAGTCACCATTCACTTTTCCTATTGCTGCATGATGCACTTACAGAGCATTGTCAAAAACACCCGTTGTTCCATCAAGCTAAAGTTTGACCCAATACATTTACGTGCACCATCAGAAAACGGCACCCATGGTATTCCATTTCGTGTGAGCTGCTCTGCTTCGCCTCCAGGGGCAAACCTCTCAGGGCGAAAAACATCAGGATCTTGCCATACTGTTGGATTGCGTTGTAGATCAATGATATCCAAGCTGACGCGTGTGCCTTTGGGGATGAAGACGCCATTCAATTCTGTATCACGGGTTGCTTCTCGAGGAATAATGGATACAGCTGGTGGATTTAAACGTAGCGTCTATTGTCATTGTCATTAGAAAAAAGAGCCACCATTCATTGTTTTGAACTTTTTTTACCTCTTTGATCACCATGTTGATAAAAGACAATGAACGCATTTGATCCAGTGATGGAGTTGGATCATTACCCAAAACAGCGAGGGCTTCTTTTCGTGCTTTGTCTTGTGCATCAGGATTCACCGCCAAATAATAGATCGCATAGGCTAAAGCGGATGCAGTTGTATCATGACCAGCAAGGAAAAAGACGCAAAGATTACTCTAGTATACGTATGTATAAGCATCCATTGTGTGTATGTCTATTCACTCCCAAAACGTACCAGCAACTCGTTATTGGATAATCTTCCTTCACCATCGTTTTCCGCTTCAATCATCAGCGTAAGCAAATCCTTCTCATTGTCGGCTCTATCATTGATGGCATCTTTTTGCTGCAGCTGCTGCTTCTTTTTGCTAATGATATCATTCATCATACCAAGGAAGATGGATAGCTCATTGTGTACGTTTTGCCGATCTGGAAACAAAAACAGGTACTTTTGTTCAAGAATTGGGAACAAGAAAAAGAGTGGATTCTTGGCTTTAGCTACGAGATAATGATATCGGTCTACCCAAGGATTGTTGTCGATCTGATCCAAGGCATGAAAATCAAAATCAAAAGATGAAAGTCCAATGGCATCCAAAGACCATCGCGTCGTCAGGGTATGCACATTCAATATCCCATCGGTTGCTATCATCAATTCTCCGTGTAACAACTTTTCCATCAAACGTCCAAAAAGCGCCACAGGCATGGAGCGGTGAAATGCTGGATTGGCAACCTACATACATACACAGATACAATGTCAGCTAATCAATGTCACGTATTCCATTATTATTAAGCATGCATACCTTGCGATGATTCTTCCATTTTTCCCCCGTTTCAAAGAGAATGTTGGGGCCAACAAGTAATCTTCCTGCGATGGTGCCCTCACGTTTCTTTTGTAACCTGGCTTTGGGAAACAGATCTATTGCGTGGGTATATGAGATCAGCTATTAAGGATCATGACCCTATTGTTGCCTTTTTTGTACCATGACTCAGCAAAAGCTTTTTAGCGGCTTCAGGACTAGTAACGCGCACAGTCCATCCTGAATTATCGAAACGCTACATATATATCCATCAAGGCGTGCAAATGATGAGACACGTAGTAGATAGCTATAATGTATATTACAATAACTTACAACGTATAAGCCATGATTCGCCTTGTTGGCAGCAGGTAGAGTGATTGTATTCGCCACTTGATCTGCAGGTGTTTCCTTGATCAATGCCCTGATGACGGCAAAAAAATCAGCTCTTGGAAGATGAGCAAGGGAGGATGGGGGAGTAGTGAGCCTCTTATAGCCAATATAGAGAGTGAAAAGGGTGATGGCCGTGGCAAGCGACCAAGGATGCTTAATGGTCATGTCAAATTGTAAAAAGAAGAGTGAAACCGAAAGAAGAAAGAGGAGACAAAAATAGATTTTTGGAACTTGCAACTTTATGCGAAACATACAATCCCGACTGGTTTTACTGGAGACTAGCTTATGAAGATGGGGCAGCAGGTTGTTCAGCGTTGTTGTTGGTCTCTTGCTTAGACTCTATAAGGTTGACATAAATCAAATCAATCAATCAATCATTCATTGTCCCATGTCACACACACACACACAATATTCATTCATACCTTCTTCCTTATCCGCATTCCACAAGGTAAGATTGTCACGCAAGAGCTGCATAATGAGGGTGGAATCCTTGTAGCTTTCCTCACTGAGTTGATCAAGTTCAGCGATCGCGTCATCAAATGCTTGCTTGGCAAGATCACAGGCCTTGCTGGGAGCGTTCTTGATCTCATAATGGAAGACGGAATAGTTGAGAGCAAGACCCAAACGAATAGGGTGAGTGGATGGTAACTCGGCCATGGCAACCTTGTAAGCTTCATCGTAAGCATCACCGGACTTGTCGGCAGCCTGGTTACGCTCATCATCTTGAACAAATTCGGCCAAATAACGCAAGTAGTCGCCCTTCATCTTGAGATAAAAGACACGTTCTTCACCGCCTGTTGCAGTCTTGATGAGATGCTCATCCAATACAGAAAGGATATCATCACAGATCTTGCGTAGCTCGCCTTCGATCTTTGTTCTGTATTCTTGGATCGTTTGGACATGTTCCTCGTTGCCCTTGGATTTTTCTTTGCTCTCAATCGATGACACCACGCGCCACGAAGCACGACGGCCGCCAATCGTGTTCTTGTATGCAACACTCAACAGATTGCGCTCTTCCACAGAGAGATTTTGACCCATGGCAGCAACTTGTTTCATGTACTCGACCATTTCTATCATTTCCAACATTGAGCACATACACACACATATGGGTTCCCATCCCAAAACGCTATTCCCTATTATCCTGGGGGAACTTACCATCGTAGCGTTCAGCTTGTTCAGCCAACTTTGCTTGATAGACACAACGTTCACGAGATTCCATTTTGTGTAAAGAGAAGAGATAAAAGAAGCGTGTTTAAGAGAGGGAGAAAAAGCAAGTAAAAGAGAAGAAAAGGGGATGGGGAGGGTTTGAGGAGAGACAAGAGACACACACAACCTGTCGTTCGTTCCGCTACTTTGATGTTTCACAAAACCAGCCGACCCGAGCGGATGTCAGCCGACGACGGAAAAGAAACTACCACCGCTGCTCCTCCAATGTCGGCATTGTGCCCTTTATTGTTATTATCATTCTACATTGATCCCCTTTTGATCTCCACTTAATAATCGATAAAACTCGGTATGTGATTGCTCCATCTCAAATAGCATTTGACGTGCTTGCTCTTCTGTAATCTCATCACTGGCCTTCATTGAATTGAGTGTAATCAGCCATTGTCGCACCTTGGATCTTCCTTCAAAGTCCCCTGGCAACCCAGGCACATTGTTCAGAGATTGAATCAAATCAGCTAGAATGGGATGTAGCTCGTCCACCGCATATCGATTCAGTCGCAACGTATCCATCAATGTAATAAAATGCTATATAAAATCCACCCTTTAATATCCCATTCGAGAGAGTAAAAAAGAGACCTTCCTTCATCAAATCACTTACCAATACACTCTCGGCAATGTATTTTGCAGACTTGCCCACATCTTGTTTGTTGTCTCCCACTGCATGTTCATAGGTTGCTGGTACTCCAATCTTGAATCGATTCACAGCTGCTGGACATGAAAGCTACAAAATCATGCAATGGGGTCACTTACTTTGATGACATCTCAACGACCTGACAACCCACTTTTACCTTGTAATCATCCATAAACGTCTCGAGATTGTTCACGCTGTCAGATAAAAAGTTCATGGTCGTTTTGTACTTTGCAATAAGGTTGGCACATTGTGGTGTGTACCTAACAACAAGAACAATCAATCTCTTGTCGACCTTTTTTTTGGTTGCCAAGCTATACGCACTTACTCTTCAGCTGTAATAGAATCGCGAATGAAGGCCTTCTCCAGGTGCTCCATCAGCACGATTATGGCAAACAAGTCGGCCATATTGTCATACTTGTCTCTTTCCTTGTTGTTGCTAAATAGCCGTACTTCCTATTGCCCATCCCAATTGTGAGCGGGTTGCCATGCATGTGGGCATGCCGAACATGCGTACCTCATCTAGGTTGATATCTATAGAAGCCGTTGTCATATGAGTAAATGGGTTGATATGTAATGCTGCGTTGTTCGATTACTTTTGGCTGTGTTGTCATAATAGTTGGGTGCATATCGTGGCACATGCGTGTGCTTGGTGGGGGACTCCATAATCAAATTCAGAGAGAAGAGAAAGGCGTAGGATACAGAATCCCGACGACAAGCTTATCACACACACGCATCCTAAAATAGTTGACATGAACAGATGTATGCATAATATCTATCACCATGAGTCTCTCTCGGACATTCATTCTAGCTATTTTCCTTAATAGCATCAAAGAGGTAGCCACTTTATCATACGAGGAATTACACGTTGACGATAAGAAAGCAACAATTATTCAAGTAATGTAGCAATGTTATAACACAAATAGCAATGGATGTATGTGGTGTATATGGGAACTAGACATCAAGGATATAAGCAAGAAGGGATTTCGTCATGGGTTCAATATGTGGTGGGATTGTGATACAGCAAATGGTAGTACATAGTACAGTAGTAGTAGGATCATCAATGGATCGTTTTCGTCAAGCGGTCTCTCCTTCGAAAGATGGTTTATCAGTGGCATCTGTAGGTGGTTCGGCCAACTTGGCAATGACACCGGTGTTCTCATTGGATCCGGAAGATACGATAAAGGGGCTATCTCCAATGGATGGTGGCAATCGTTTTACCGATAGAGATGGTGTAAAAAGAGGATTGGATGGAGATGGTCGTGGTAGTGGAGATGAAGCTGCTGTAGAATCTTGCGAGGAATGCCAACAAAGAGCCATCTTTGATAATTTCTGCTCCACAAGATAAAGAACCAAGTCGTCAAAGAACAATTGCATGATCCGGAAACTCTCTGTGGGTGTGCTCATCAATATCCAATGCTCATGATCATACCCTTTTTTAATGTTTTACCTTCGCTAGAAGCATGGCTGGCGCTGAGATCTTTGATGAGCAGTGCGGTTAGGTATGTCCACTTGAAAATGAATTCCCTGGCGTAAGACATGTAGTCGTTTAGATCATTGGCCTTTGAAAAAAAATCATGGATGAATATCATACCACGTGTCAAATAACGCTCCAATATCACTTACCGCCTGTTGTGTCGGGATACGCAGGAATCGATGGACAATGCCTTTGAGCCAAGTAATCCAGCAATCAAGATCAGCGTTGGTGGATAGCAAGTTGTAAACATCAAATTGCACTATAGGCGAGGAATCAGTCTACTTGAACTATGATATCTCCACACATCCAGACTTACGAATATGCTTGATTTGCTTTGGGTCACACTGGCATAGCCAATAGGACTGGTCAACCACATTGTCAAAGTCAATCGTAGTCCAATCATGCTGCATGTTTTCCACTGTTGGGAGATCCATGATCATCGCTGCGACGTCGTTGGCCAAGAAGTTGAGCTTAAGGTGGCGACGAAATTTGGACACAAAGACTTCAGCGACTGAATACAAATGATGTCAGCCATCATGATAGCACTACATCCAGGTCATTGTCAAGAAGCATACCTCCTAGCTTTTTCATCACAAAGGTCTCGGGATAATGACTTCGTAGCGATTCCTCAATACATGGTAGCAACTCTCCAGTATACGTTCGTAGGCGATCAAGGGTATGGAATGGGGTGGGTGTATACACCTTTGGAATCACGCTTGAAATAATGGCCTAAAAGGCAAAAAGTGTCAGTCCCCATGATCTAGCCTCACCCTCTTCCCCTCCCATACATCATACTCACGTCATAGAGGGAACAATCCCATCGCCATACAGCCTCTGTGATGTCTGGGGTGCTTCGAATGGCATTTCGGAATCGGTCAGGGAGCATGCGATAGAACGATCTAATACCAGCAAACAGCTATTAATCAAGTAAGAATGTAAATAAGTCTTCTACTCCTTGATTCATTCATTGTTTTCATCATCACTTGCCTCGTCAATTTGATTGTTTCGGATGTAATCAAGGATCTCTTGACAATGTTGCTGATATGCATGCGAAAATTCATGTGCGATCGTATTGTCCTTGAGAGTGGAAAATTGGAGCGGTGCAAAAGATGCAAGGTGGATTGGCTCGTTGTTGTCTTCATATCTGAAGGCGATTGCTGACACCGACGAGGTGGTTGTGTAGTTACGACGCCATTGAGGATTTCGCGAAGAAGATTGTTGTTGCTGGTAGTTGTTGTTCAAAGAGGCCGTGGTCATGCGTGGTGGTGGTGTATTAACAAGCACAAAAGTAGGAGGGTGTGTTGGTGATCTTGTGTCTTGAATCACGCTAATACATACATATGCACAATGACTTAATGGATATGGCCAATGTCATCCCCTTTCTTTTGTATACACATACCTGCTGCCACCACTTGGAACAAGGGCAGATGATGGTGCATGACGTGAAGATGGGGTGGTGATTGGATAAGGGCTTGAGGTTGTAGAAACAGCACGTCGACGTTGTTGGCGAGTTCTTGTGGGTGATGTTGTTGATATAACAGGTGCACTGGATGTGGATGTTTCACTTGTTGATGTGGTGGTAGCGGCATCTGTTGGAATGAGACGAGGGGATGCATCCATACGACGACGAATACCACAATAATGATATCTGGATTGGCCACGTACACCAAGACGACGTGTCGTAATACGAGGAAAGATATGGCGAATGAGCTTGCCAAAAGTAGCACAGTTAACAGGCTGGATGTTGCGTGCTGTACATGTCGCTAGATAATCTTGATACATGCCACTGCGAGGGACATTGTGATTGTGCTCATAGTAATAATGGGAAATGGCCCTAGGTTATCCATTGTTAGTATATGATTTGAATAATAGAAGCTTATACATACCAAGTGAGCACAAAGTTGTTTTGGGCATGACCCGCTTGATCCTGTTGAACTCGGTTTTCTCTGCTACGAGGGGTGCGTACAGCGCGTGGACGATGGATCACTACTGCATCAGGCTCCCCTTCTTCGTTATCACCCTCCTCCTCCTCCTCCTCATGAAGTTGGTCATGTTCCTGTTCCTCTTCTGAAACCGCAGCTGCTGAACGTGGTTGGCCTGAATGTTGCAATGAGGAGTCCCCATGAGGCGATCCCGAAGAACTACAACACGAATGAGACATGGGTCAATGAGCATGCATCGACCTTCTCAATGCTTCCTTTGACTTTGACACTTGCTTACCTTCCTTCTTGAGAGATAGCGAATTGACTGTTTGACGTTGTTGTCGTAGCAGCATCGCTTGGGACTTCATTGGCAGGCACGTCTTGTCTGTTGCTGGAGGATGGTCGTTTGTTGTCGGCCATGATAAAAGGAAATGATAAGGGAAAGAAAAGAAATGGGGTGGAGCTCAACAGGAATCAAACAAGATAAAATGAATGACACGCATGGTGCGGTTTTGATGTCTCAGTTACATTGACTGCGTTCCTTCGCTTTACATCCTTTCCTCCCTCGAGTTCATCATGTACATCCACCCACTCCATTCATATTCATTCAACTAAAGAGACATTGTCTAATGCCATTACTTTAAGCTGCATGGGATCATGAAGAATGTTGGTGTTCACGCATAATCATGCAGCTCGCGCTGACATGTTTGGCGTTTCGCGTGCCAATTGTGTAACGTGATTTAAATTCCTCCACAAAAGATAGTCATTGTTCTTTACCTAAAGCCGTTTTCATTGTATTTCATTATCAAAATAAAGGTGAACATTCCTCGAAAGGAAGATAGATGCATTGCTTTATATAACGTATGTTTGTTTGAAATTCATAATACTTGAGGATGGCTGAGGATGGGTGCACGGATCATGCAATGATGGAATCACGTGCCTGAAAGCTATTATCTGAGGAGTAATGCAGTCCCGGCCACGCCAAACAGTAACCTTATATTCGAACCCTATTTTCGACATACTTCAACATCGCCATATCGAAGCTATTACCGACGCAATAATGGATCATGCTATTCTTGCAGAATGAGGAGCGGCGCCATCATTGTTGGATCCAGCATGGTCGTCCCCAGCAGCAGCAAGAAAATGTGTGTTGCTGAAAATAGAAACATTCCATGTTCTCTTTCTATTGAGCTTCTGGTTATTCTCCCATCTCTCCTTATTGTTGTTGTCATTGTCAAATACACACAATCAACTCATCAACAATCAAAATTTGCTTCTTGTATGTGATACAATATGGCCCGTGTGTGTCTATTTGTTCAGATCCATGATCATTTTTTCAAAGCAGTGTCGATCCAATCATTTCATCAACGGGCTTTTAGACCGATAAACGCCCAACATCACACACCCCAAGATGCGCTGATCTACTTTACATGCATGGCTAGTATACCCAATGCACCCCGATTAGCGGAGCTCCTGAAAATCCTTCATTTGCATAGCTATCGTGAGCATACATACAAGCAGGAGAAACAACAACCACCCAAAAAAAAGGCAAACGACGACGATCAATGCATGCATCTACGTATGATAGAGAATGCTTTAGGCTATTACTATTGTAAATGGTAAAACAAATCCATGTGCCATGGGATATGGTAGTATGCATCCATATCATCAGCAGGGAGTTAATAAGGGCGGGGATCATCAGCTGATAAGGTATTCTTATTGCTGAGAGAGAAGAGGAAAGCGGATTTTCGGTAAGATTCAAGTTACCATTCCGATCGTTTTGGTACACAAGATCAATGCAGATCTAGATACGTTCCTGTCATTATGCTTTTCTTAGCTGTTACTTTGTACATGAAACGTAAAATAGATCCAAGAAAACGTTTCAGATCGTTAAACAAGTGCTTGTACGTACCCAAAAATGGGCATTCCAGGTTCTTTTCGTTGATCCACAAAAGGTATTCCCCAAGACCACCAATGTAAAGAAAGGGGGTGGATGGATGAGTAGTAGTAGTAGTAATAAGCGAGGAAGCTGTACATGAAATGCAGCTAATGGCTTAAGCAATGCAGCCTTACATAGTAGGTTGTGTGTGGATGGATCGACAACCAAACCATTTTTGGGGATTAAAGTCTCCTCATCCTTGCAACCCCCCTTCCCCTATACCTCGTTTATATAGATCCATGTGCCGATAGATACATTCATTGATACTCAAAATACTGCGGCAATTTGATTAGAAATACAACTACCACTACCGGTTAGCGGACCACATTTGTAAGAGGACGATGAGGAGGATGAAACGCAACAAGAAGGCTGCTGCTTTTTGGCTTTTGCTGTGGCAAAGTTCAGACGTAGTCTATGTATGGAATAAAAGGGATACCTAAAAGTAAACCATATGGAGTTATGTTTATAGTTACAGCTCGATGCTCCTTTTAACGATATCAAAAAAGAGAGCAGAATTGAATGTTACACACCGATTGGGATGTGCCTGAGAATATGGGACGATCCAGACGCGCATTATCGGGACCAATGAACACGCGCGTCAATGACTCGGCAGAATTGCATCATTGCAAAACGTTTATATAGGCCCATTGTCATCCCCCACTCCTTTTCATTTTTTTTTTCTTCGTCATTACGACTCTTGTCTTTTTTTCACAATGATGTTCAACCTGATAATATCTGCTGCACAAGTAAGATACAACAACATTGGCTCCAAAATGGGTTTCCATGGGAAGAAAAATGCTAAATGATCATTCATCATCATAGTCCATTCTTCAAGTCATGGTGATTGTAGCATTTGGCTATATCCTTACAAGAGGTGGTTATATCAGCAATGATAAACAAAAGGTAATTCAACATCCATGCTATGTGAAAAGAAGAAGAAGAATGCATGATTGATGATCCTTCTCCCCCCATAGTGGCTCTCCAAGTTGAACCTTGTATTCTTTACACCATGCCTCCTCTTTTCAAACATTGCATCTGTCATTTCATTCGAGAAGCTACTTGCATACTGGCCGATCCCTATTTTTTATAGCATCTTTGCCCTTATCTCATTTTCCGCTGCACATGGCATCAGCCGTGCTGTTCGAGTCAAGCCTGTCTATCGTCGTTTTATCGTTGCATGCACCATGTTTTCCAATACAAACTCCTTACCAGTGGCTGTCATTTCGAGCTTGGCCTTATCAGAAGCGGGTCAAATCCTCTATTGGGGTGTCGATGATTCACAGCAAGCTGTGGCTGCAAGGTATGTATCATCATCATCATCAAGCCCCTTCCTTGCCAACCCCCCTCTTTTGAATATCGAAACCTTCGTTGAAAATGGCCTTGATGGATCATCCACATTTGTGCTGATACATACGCGTTCCTTCTTTGTTTTCTTTCTTCAGGGGCATTACCTATGCATTGCTGTATGCTATCTTTGGAAACCTTTTACGCTGGTCCTATGGATACAGCTTGCTTTCATCTGAAGAAGATCCCGACAATGATGACCAAGACAAGCAAAGCAGTGTTCTCACAGGAAGAGAACATCATCGAGATGAGATTGTGTATGCCGAATATGGAGCAGCTGACATGTATCGTCGTCGTGCTAGCTCAATCACGTTACCAGGCACTGACCATCTTGGTTCACAACAAGCTAACAACAAGGCATCCTTGAGGGGCCAAGTCAATGAATCCACTGCCCTTTTATCCTCCTCCATGGAACAACAACAACAAGTTGTTGACGATGATGATGATGATGATGATGATGCTCGTTCTACTACAAAGACACTTGTCGTAGTGGATTGGGCCCGGTCCATTCATCAATCCATGACCCCACCCTTGTACGCAGCATTGCTTGCATTGATTGTTGGACTTGTTCCCTTTCTTAAGCAGCTCATGTATCACAGTATATTGTATCCCACCATCACCAGTGCTATTCAATCCTGCAGCAAAGCCTCCGTTCCCATCACGCTCGTTTGCCTTGGTGCACAACTCAAAGATATTTCTTCTCAAACATCATCATCATCCGATGCAGCATTGGAATTAGAAGAAGGTCAACAACAAGAACGTCAAGTGGATCCCAAGCCCATAGCCACAGCCATTGGTATCCGTATGGGACTTGTACCATTGATAGTGATCCCGTTGGTGCTTGCCTTTGTAAAGTACAATGGTGTTGCATGGTCGTCTGTGTCAGTGGCCACGGATCCAGTATTTGGTGTCATGATGATTATCCTTGGTTGCACTCCCACGGCCATCAATCTGGTGCAAATCTCTCAGGTGACAGGTGCCTTTGAAAAGGAAATGCTGCGTGTCCTCTTTTGGAGTTATGGTGTTGTCTGTATCCCCGTATTCACCATGATCATCTTTGCTGCTCTCAACATTGTCCATTTGTTTGTCTAAAATACCCACCCCCTCATTGTGTATACCACCAACAATTGCCCTTTTACCCATAACCCATAGAATGCACCCTTGTGTTGTTTCCCTGTAAATACATATTGCCTCCTTTTTTCCACTCCCATCAACATGCAGAAGACAATAAAAAAAAAGCCATGCAATGAAGATCATTTTAAACCTTGTTTTCATTCTAAAGGGGGAAGACTATAGCGTAAGATAAGAAAGAGATTGGGGGTGGGCTGATGGTGGAATCATTAGTAGTAGCACTAGTATACTTGTGGAAATGTTGTGTGTGTGTGTGGGTGGGTGTATAGAGTAATGTACAAACGAGGGTATATAATTAAGCAGGAGCCTTCCATGCTGGTGCATTGGGATTTAAGCGACTTGTGCCACCACCATTATTGTAATGATGATGATGATGATGATGATGATGGTCCTTGGTAGGTAACTTGACAGTGTATTGGGAGAGTCGGCCGTTGATCTCGGTTGTAAATGTCAAATGACCTTCCTCATTCATAAAGTAACTTTGTCGTTGTTGTTGTTGTTGTTGATCATTGTGTTTGCGGGGTGTTGTTGTTGTTCTAGAATGATTGCTGGGAGTGGGAGAGGTAGAAACAGGTGGTGCCATCATGGACCTATGCTTTCTTTGTCGATCCATTGCTCCATGGTTACGACGTAAAGTTGTATGAGTGGGTTGATCAATGACGGTGAGAGGAGGTGTGGATGCGAGCAAGCGTTTGTTTTCTCTTTCAAGCATGCTGATTCGTTTATCAAGATCAGGTCGCTCTTGCACCAAAGCTGTGTATTTGCATTCGAGCTCGTGATACTTTTGTTCCCAGATTTCCTCACTATTCACAACGTCTGCCCAATCTGGTGATCGTCCATCATCATCATCTCCATCACCACCACCTTCTTTAGAGATCATCACTGGTTCTGTTTGGAGTTCGGCATCTACAGCTGATACGCACGGACCCTTGCCATCTCGAGCTGTAATCCGCTTTCGTAAAGTATCCAATTGCTTTCGAAGTTCAGCTGTCTCTTCCTTCAATGCCTCCAATTCAGATGCTTGTGCAATGGATTTGAGTTGTTGAGCATTGATCTCACTTTCAAGCTCGATCCTTTGCTTACGCAACATGTCCAATTCATCCTCTTCATCCGTATCCTGATGTGTGGTACCACCACCACCAACAAGTTGACGATCCAATCGCGTGAGAATCGATGCACCCAATTCCAAAATCTCTCGTTTTTGATCCTCATAGAATCGACGGGCTTCACGATGACTTTCAGTAGCACGCCAAACAATCTCGGAGATGCTTTCTTTGAGTCGGCTTTCCACAATCTCATCAATGCTGTGAAGCAATCGTTGTTGTGATTGATCATTTGTGGTGGTCGTTGTATTGAAGTCGGATGATGATTGAGGCGGGGGTGGTGGGGGTGGTGGTAACTAATCATGGAATAGAGGTAAATACATGGTCCATGCATATACACACGCACACACACTCCCACACACATAAACACAGGATTTGCATGAATACATACCATTCCACTTTCGCTCAATTTGCGTAACGCCATAAATCTCGGGCTTACAGCACTTGTTCCACTGCTTTTACTCGTGCTCGTTTGTGGTTTCACCTCATGCTCCTTCTCTTGTTGTTGTTGTTGTTGTTGATTCAATGATGAACGTCGTCGATCCATAGGGGATGATGATGATGATGCATGGTAATGATCCTGATGCACTGAGGGAGGATGTGAAGTGATTCTTGAGGTGCGTCGTGAACGAATCAAGTGAGGAGGGGGTCGTAGAGGAAATGCATGAGCGCCATACAATGATTCTTCATCTGAAGTCCGTGTCTGAGAATTTTCACGTGGAAAACTCGATCCGTCATGATGCATCCAAGCAGCAGGTGGTCGTTCTACCATGGGCGATAATATCACATCTTGAATCACATCACTTCCAGCGATGCGTACACTGATGGTGGGTGTCTCAGGTTCCAATCCATATCCATGAGGAGTCGTAGGATGAGGTGTACGCGCCAATCGTGCTCCTGCTACTGCTGGTGTATGCATCCCACCACCACCACCACCACCACCATGATGAGGATGAGGCGTCAATGGTGCTCCCGCTGCAAGAAAAGGTGCTCCAGGTGAAAAGTAGTCGTTGGATGGAAATGTAAACACTGAGTTCGGCGGTAATGCAATGGTGCCAGGTGCTGCACGATGATGCTTTGGTGTTGCTGATGAGGGTGGTGGTGGTACTCCTTGTTGTTGTGATGATGGATCCATCTTTGTCGCTAACCTCTTTTGTGCCATGCCAGGATCCTCATTACTGCTATTGTTGTTATTCATCTAATACCATCCATCGGTCAGTCTACATATACCCAACCACCCCCATTCACGATAATAGGATTCCCAAAATACCTCTTGTAACTTGTCAAATAGATCGTCTTCCACATCCGTCTCATCGGTGTCGACATCGTCGTCATCGCTTGGACCCTGGGGCTCATCACGTTGGCTATTGTGGCCTTCTTGGTCATGGCGTGGTGCAATGGCTGATTTACCTCGTTCTGGCAAGTTGACCAAAGGAGGAGGGACCTTCTCCAAGTAGGCCGAGAAAATTTCACGAGATTGTGTCTCAGGAAACTGTTGCAATGATTAAGAATGGATGATGATGATGATAGATTAAATAAAATGATTGCCTACATACATGTTCTTTCGATGATGCTTTATCCGAACGGCTGCTCTTTTTGACCTTGCCATGGTTACTGAGTGGTTGTTGTATAGGAGAAGATGATTCTGGTAACGACATTGAATAGTTCTTTGGTATGGTGGATGATGATGATGATGGTAGAGATTGATGTTTTGTTGCTCGACTAGTGGGAGGAGCATTAGCAGCTGTAGGAGTGTCGTCGTTTGACATGGTAGTAACAACAGAAGAGAAAGAAGGAGGAGGAGTAAAAGAAGAAAGAAGAGCAGCTGTCATTAAACCAAGGAGAGAGTAAAAAAAAGAGAGAGAGAGAGAGAGGAAGAGAGAAGAGAGAGTAATCAACGCCTGTAACCCAATATTTTTTCGTCTTGTTGATTGCTCTCGCTCGCACTCTCTCTCTCTCTCTCTCATTCTTTCATGCCTTTATCACTCAAAAGTCAGTTCCCAGCGACCGATCGTGGCTCGTTTGCCATAGCAGGTAACCTCCCCTCAAGTTATTTCAACGTGGCCATGTCACACAAAGAAATGTATCTCTTACCCTTTCATCCAATCATCCCATTTGGTCCCCATCTTGTTCTCCACGTGTGATGTTGCACCTTGACAGTTGCCGCCTTTAGTTTACTATTGCTGTCACCCCCCAAATTATTATTGTTGTGTATAGGGTCTTCCTCACACTACCTAAGCCTAATTGCATCATTTGTGAGCGCTTTAAATGTGAATCATGCCATCCTCATCCAATCGAAGATACAAGCTTTTATTACTTTGTAAAGAACCAATAGCAATACAGATCCCAATTCATCATCTGTCAACCCATATCCTTTTACATTTCTCCCCATTAAGGTAGTAGGGTGTCCCTTTCCTCATCTCTCTCTCTACCTCTCTCCCTCCCCCCCCCAACTAACCAACCAACCATCATCTCCTCTCCCCACCTTTCGGGTGCATCCATTCACAAATACAAAAAACAAGGTTGCATGAAAAACGTGATGATAGACATCAAAAAGGGTGCGAGACGAGATAATAAGTGTAGACCTTGTACAGGCACACACACATACACACACGCACACACAACAGCAAGGAGGTGAATAAAGTCGGTGCTGTATTCTGGCACATGGGGAGGTTGCTTATTATTGTTCAAATGTTCTCTTGGCTTTGGACATTTTTAGTGAGCGACGGCGATCATCATCCCTGGGTTTCCTCTTAATTTGTATACTTGCAACCAAGGCTCAGCTTTGTACTACTTTTGGATTTGTTGTACTTGCCTAATGGTCTCTCTTTGTGATCTCGCATTTTCTGCTAAATCTCAGCCATTATAAGGTACATTCTATATACAACGAAACGTATACATACATAACAACGAGGAGAAAGAGCTCCTAATGGTGGTGATACATCATTATCCTTCGACCCCCTTAACGTTCGGCTTAATGTGTTCAAACCCCACGTGCAATACAATGCTCCCTCATCTCCTTGAACGTACAATGCACATGCATTATGGATATCAACCTCCTCGGGATATATGTTGGCCAATGCATGCTTGCAATTGACATGTGTTTTACACCATTTGGCAACAACAGAATGCTTCATCATCTTCATCCCCCTTCTTCTTGTGTCGCCTCGCTCGCTCCGTTGTTGTGTGGTACCGAAATGGGGAATCCCCGACCCTGATTGGTGGATGTCACCCCCATCTCCTTCCTTCAATTTCCCCGCTACTGGAAACGCGTCTCTCTTCCATCACTCTTTCGAGAAGGATTTTACTGGGACACGACCGTGTTGCTGCAATGAAGAAATGGCATTTATTGCACAACAGCAGAGGATTTGACCGACTATCTATCTATATACATGAGCGACTTGCTGGAACAGAGATCTGAGACTGCAACAGGTTTGGGAAAGGTGGAATCTACTCTTGTGTGAAGAGTGAGAGACGAGATTGGGATGAACAAGCCATGTGGCAGGTAAGCAATGGGGATGGATCTCGGGATAACAACAAGGCCATTCTTTTTAACATGCCATTTTAGACCACTTTGCAGTGTTGAGCTCGCCAATGAACGACACATACCCAAAGCTCGAGAGTTCCTTTCAACCATGTGAGCAACAAAAAGTAGTTTTCAATCGGAGGCATATCAAGAGCAACATACCGGGCAACTTGGGTCTACCTTGGTGTTTTGGACATCCATCTTGATTTCCCTATGATGAGACAAAGGCGAATGCGATGCAACCGCTTCGATGGATCGATTCGGGTTACAAATGAGCTCACTTTTGATCATATTATCTCTGAGGGAAGGTACGACGACATCAAGCGGATGAGGAGGGTGAGTAGTGTATGTATGTAGGAAGGATAGTCATTTAGATACAAGCAAATGCGAATAAACCCTTGATGAGACGATGCATATATATGTTACAAGTTGATATCTTTAGATCATGACGCCATAGATATTGAGCCATCTAAATCACTAGAAGTTATCAAAGCGAGCACATCGACACTAAATACTAGTTTAATGATGAAAGTATAGGGTGTATAAACAGGTCTGTACAAAATGGTATCATCTCTTGTTGAGGTTATATACAATTTCAATCTTCGTCTTCTACCTCTTGAATGGAGAAATAGGGATGATGCTTCTACATCTCTGTGTGAGTAAAAGCATTACAACATTAGCGAGTTGTCGTTTCTTACCATCCAATGACCAATGGTGCCTCGCTTAACAGGATCACGGCTTAGCAATGTCTTGATGATATCACGTGTTTGTGGGTCATGGATATGATCCTCAAAGCCAGGGATGTCTAATTCCACTTGCTCATTCCATCGTATGCCATTGATCAGCCCCGGTGTAAGAGGTGATGGGTGCGAAATAAAATGTAATACGGTGTCATCGGTAATGTTAGCTGGGAAGAGTGGTTCATTGGCCTCAAGTTCCTGTTGTCATGGCAACCACCAATTGATGATGAATGAGTGTTTTTGTTGCCTACCACCAAATTCTACACTTACATAAATGATACATCCAAGTGACCATAAATCTACACTGGCTGATGCTACAACACCGTGCGATTCAATACCATAGGTCGTGGCTCGGGCTACTTCAGGTGGACAATAACGAGGTGTGATCAATCCCACGCATTCCTGGCCAATGGTACGACTCGCTTCGAAATCAATGAGCTTGAACACGTATTTTCCTTGCTGATATTTTTGCATAATGTTGCTTGGTTTAAGATCACAAAAAGCAATATCACGAGAGTGGCATGCTGCAAGTCCTTTAGCAACATCGCATATCATGACACGTGATAAGCTTGCTGATTCAAGTCGTTCCAAAACAGCCACATACTCCAGGTTGTTGTTATTGTTGCCAATGGTGAGCATTTCTTGTAAAGCGACAACATGTTGCGTTGCTGATTGTAGTTTGACAAGGGCACGACATTCACGTTCCCATGCTTCACGACGCCCAAACACCTTAAGTGCCACAGGATCTCCCTCTAGTGTGCCAAACCAAATCTTGTTTGTGGGTCCCACGTGATGGGGCGTGCCATCTAATGTATACCGATCCGCTGGTACTTGCATTGGCAATGACTGTAATCGTGCTAATCGTTCAAGCGGACTAATGTTGTCATCATCATCATCATCAGGATCATGTTGGTTCTCTTTTTCAATGGTTGTTGTAGACGTGGGTGAATTGATGGCTGCCATATTGACACGCTGTGCGAGTGGAATCGTAGACGATGAGGAAGATGACGTGATGGTGGGATGGCTGAAATGAACATAAGGCACAGTAGGCGATCCAAGACCAGCAGAGGCTAACGTGCTACTATTAATACTACCACCACCACCACCCCCAATGCCTCTTGCTGCTGTGATGGGTCGAGTAAATTCATTGGGCTTTTGAAGAATGATTTCGTTGGGTGATTGTGCTGGTGGAATGATCATGTATGACATGGAGCCACCTTCTTCGGATGTTGTCGTGGCTGTTGTTGGATGTTCAGCTGTCATCAATGATGGCACATTGGCAGCACTATTGTTAATGCTGCTATTGACGCTCATGTGTTTGGTGCCCACGCTGTTCAATGCATTCATGCTATTGCGTTTTTCATCCAAAATGAGGCCACCCTTTTCTTGTTGTTGTTGTCCCTTTTCATGGTGCTGCTCAATGTCCTCATCTTCAGGAGAAAGAGTCTTTTCTTGTTTTTGACGTCGTTTGCTTCGTCGTAAGAGTAGGAAACACAATGCGGCAAGCACAATGGCACCCCCTACTACACCACCCACTGCTGCACCAATGATGGTTTGCTTCTCATTATCGCCATGTTGTTGTCCTGATGCTTCACCATGATCATCGCCATCATTATTAGAATCGGGTGGTGCAATGGTTGGTGGTGGTGTAGATTCGGCATCAAATCCCTGAGGAGCAACACGCGTCCATGACCATGCTTGAATGTCGAGAATATAAATATCGCTGTCATTTGTGGCACCTACGCCCCATCCGCCAAAAATATAAATCTTTTGTTTAGCTTTATCCAAAACGGCGGTGTGACCTATGAATAGTAGTAGTGGTTGTCAAAAAAATGCATAATTAGTAACAGCTTTCGCTCATTGTGACGATGATGACTACTACTACTACTTTACCCATGCGTGCATTTGGGCCACTTGAAAGATTTGTCATTGGAGCCTGACGCCATTGAAGCTGTGGGTATTGTGATGCATCTAAAATCCATACACCCGTGTCAAAAGGTCGGTCTGTGCCACCACCAAAAATGATCATTTGGTCGTCAAGGCAATTGGCAGTGTGTAAACGACGAGCACCAGGGGCAGCATTGTTGCTACTTTGGACTTGCACTTGAAGATTCCATGTACCCTGACCAAGCGTGTAGGTGAATACATCCGAAACGGGATTTGATTTGGAGCCGGTTGTTGAACCACCGTAGCTGATGATGCAGTTGCAATGTGGGATATAGCACATGGCGTGATCAGTCACTTGCATGCCGTTGCTAGCGGGTGCCCATGTATATGCATTGGCATCCATGACATAGAGCGAGTTGAGTACTGCATTGGTGATTGGATGCCCATTGTTGTCCACAGATAAACCACCATAGTAGTACAACGAGTTGTTCACAAGACTCATTGCATAGCCGGAAGCATGACCAGGAGGAGATAAGCCTATTGTTGTTGTTATGGAGGAGGATGATTAGTATTACTACATACATGCAACAACTTTTATACAGGTTGGCAGGGGGCAACGTACTAGCTGTTGGGAAGCTCCAACTCCAACTATTGGTGTCAAGCTTTTGAAGGCTACTTGCACCACCACTCGTATTGGAAGCAATGGCAAGCATTTGACCAGGGCTTGGAACATGCGTAGCTGCAAAAAAGACTTGTCCTGGCATGGTATTTCCACTGCTCACCGCCACATTGGGATGGTACCATGCACCTTGTTGTGAGTTCCATACCCAGACATCATTTGTGCCTGACAGGTTGCTGTTGGGATCACCATCAATGTCTTGGTTGCCACCATAAACAATCACATAGGGATCAACATAGGCTATGTACATGTATACATGATGAGTATGGCTTTCTATTCCAATGACAGCGTACGCATAAACAACACAAACCTCCTGCATGACCAGCACGCCATGGGACATGGTTTTGACGTGTGCCAAGTTGACCTTGCGCAGATACGTTATCACCGATTGCAAGGAGGAAGAGCACCAACAGCAACAGCCACACTTGCATGGTGGAATAAAAAGATGATGTTTTTTGCACGTATCGTTGTGCTGTGTGCAGGGTGCGGAAGAAAGAGGAAGGACAAGGGGGGAAAAAGAACTCAAAGTTCCCAAAAATTATTACCCCATTGTTTACATGATTACTGCGCCCAACCTATATAAGCACTGCATCACTGCATATCATCATTCGCCGCCCTAATAGCGGTGGCATGGGAACAAAAAGCCCATCATTGTGGACGTTGCCAATTGTAACAAATAGAAATCAAGGAAACACCGTCGTCATCATGTTTAATCTACTGCACAAAAATCGTGTATTGAGAGCTTGAGGGAGCGAGAGAGAGAGCGAAAGGGAGGGTATATACGAAAAAAGAACAAAAAGGCAGCTATGCATATTTTACTGCTGTTGCTGTTGCTTGTACAAGGCCTCGACATCTTCAACGTCTTCCTTGGAGCCGAGCCAGATACCCGATCGATCGTGAATATGCTCTGGGATGATATCCAAAGCATCCATGGTACCGGTAGTTGCCTTACCACCTGCTTGTTCAATCAAAAAGGCCATAGGGAAGACCTCATAGAGGATACGAAGCTTTCCACGCTTGGACTTTGCATCCGCGGGATAACCAAAGATGCCACCTGGTAACACCACAAAAAGGATTAGCCATCAGACGTTGCACAAATCGGGACTATTATGCGCATGCAAAAAACGTACCATACAAAAGTGTGCGGTGGATATCAGACACCATGGAACCAACATAACGTGCGCTATACTTTTGCTTGACCGTGTCGACATACTTTCGGCTGGGTTCATCAAAGTGCTTGTAGTTACCCTCGTTGATGGAGTAAATCTTGCCACGAGGAGGCAATTTGATCTACAAAGTGTGTCTTATCAGCAAATTTGTCCGTTTTTTTCTCCCCTATCTTCCGTAGTAGTCGTACTCACATCAGGATGTGTCATGATGAATTCACCGATAGCAGGATCCAAAGTGAAGCCATTGACGCCGTTACCAACAGACTATAAATTACGTGGTTAGTCTCCACGTGATCCTGACGTAGGCAGCAATAAACAACCCCCTAACTTACCAAGATCATTTCACAGTACGAGCCTAAAAGCCAATGGGTTAGAGATACCCAAGATCAATCGTCCAAACAATATCCCCATGTTACTTACCGTACATGCAGTAGCCAGCAGCAATAAGCTCACGACCATTACGCAAGAGATCCTTCTCAGTGGGGTTTTCGTGATCGGCCTAATAAAAGCAAAAGGCGTATGAGCATCCACCTTGATAACGTATACGCGCGTTCGTTTCACCATCCTTTGTAATAATACTTACCACCTTGAAAATACCAAAGATAGTACCAATGGAAACACCGCAATCAATGTTGGAAGAACCATCCAAAGGATCAAAGGTGACAATGTATTTGCCGCGTTGGTTGTGATCTTGAATCACCATAGCGTTTTCATCTTCCTCAGAGACCAAAACACAAGCCTTGCCAGAAGAGATAAGAGCATTGCGGAAAATGTCATTGGCGAGCAAATCCAACTTTTTAACGTCTTCGCCTTGAACATTGGCAGTGCCGGTCAAACCAAGCCTACACGTACGCATCAAGTTAATAGGGTGGTTGTACATGGAGCATATGAAAATCATACAAGTTCACGAGACCAGCTTGCTTCACCTTGGAAGCGACAAACTTGCATCCAAATTGGATCGAGGTCAACAACAAGGTCAAATCACCAGTAGCTTCAGGAACGTACTATCATATCATAGCAAGGGGTTATTACGTGTCGCTTGCAATGACACGTCATGTCGACTTTCCACATACCTGTTGCTGAGCAAGCACCCAACGCGTCAAGGTAACGAGATCAGTACCACGACCGACTGCGATTTCGTCAAACTTGGTTTCTGGCATTATGAGTGAGTTGTGTCAAAAGTGTGGGAAAAAGAGAAAAGAAAACGAAAATGATAATGCGTTGGGCTAATTTACGCTTTTTTATAGTGAGCAAGCATAATTCTTTTTTGGATTGGGGGACTATGTGGAGGTGTGGTTGGTACGGGTGTATCGGAGTCAACAATTGCGGGGTAAGCCGGTAGGATAAACGTGGAGCATAGGAACAATTTCACATGCCACTATGAAAGAAGGAAGCAGTTCTTGCCCTCGCACATGGATTTGGTGAGTCGTTGATACATGACTTGCTTGTTGGAATAATCTGGAAGCTTGAGATAATTGGCACATGTCATCACCGATGGCAAATAGTCGTCTGGTAAAAGAGGTGGCTCGCATTGTTTCCGCACCACTGTAAACACAGGCCGCATAGCATGCCACCCTTGTATTGTAAAATGAGTCAGCAATGACCTTTGTCTTATCCATCCCATCCCTTCCCATCCTTTACATACCTCCAATCGGTAAACGAGGACTTCCTGTAGTGAATTGCAAAAAGTCGCGTCGTTCTTGCTGGGTCATTTCCGAAAGGATGGCCACCAAGTGTTGCACAGTACGGCTTTCCATGGTGTACCCATGATCTGCATGGATGGCACTCGAGATAGCTATGTAGTCCACAATAAAAATAGCACGTCAATAACAAATCCACTGAACAAAGAACCTCGCGCGCTTACTTGAATATGACCAATCTTCCACCGAGTTACCAAACAATGAAACAAGTTCCTCCGGTGACAGAATTTTGAGATGATCCAAGTCAAAGATACTGCTAAAGCCTTTTCGAAACATTGCCATTTGTTCTCGAATGCCGGATCCCATAAGCATATCCAATAGCATGTCCATATACTCCTTGACATTGTCGATCGTCACTGCCATATTTTCGCCATTCTCCTATATGTGTGTGTGTTACATCATTGTTTCGTATATAATTTCTTTGTCGGAACATACCTGCAGCATAATTTCGGGATGCCCGGGTAACGTGAAATCCAGACACAGATCCTCCAAACGGCTGTGAATGGTTCTTAGAGCCGATGCCTTTTTCGCCGCCGTCTAAAAACAAACCCACCCCCACAATTAGTAAGAAAACGTGTTCTGGTAGATCCTCCTCCTCCTCCCATCTCCTCTTACTTACCATGGATGCATCCGAAACGATGGCTTGTTTCTCGTCAACAAAGTCTTGTAAAACTTGTAGCGAATTGCACAACACCGGATCAATATCCTGCCAAAAGAAGATTTTATCATCAGCATCCCGTCAACATTCGGAAAGAAAGCAATCATGCGCACGTGCCAATGAACCCCCATCCCCCTTTCCGCGGATCCCCCTTTTCCTTACCCTGAGCAATTGAAGAGAAGGAGGAGGAAGCACTAGTTGTGATTCCGAAAAAAGTAGCTTGAAGAAGGCTGGACTAAATGGCATGTCGATGATCCTGAAATCCACCATGGCTTTGGCAACAAAGCGACCCAAAGTTTCAAATAGCTTGAGCGTCATTTTGCCAGTGGATGTTGTCTTTTGAAAAGGTGCCATGGGCATTGGAAATAAACCGTTTTTGTTTGACACGTATTCTCCTCCAACTGAATCATCCTCATCATCATGACGCCACATGGCAAGTGTCTTTTTGCTGAATTCCTTGGACACAGCAGCATAAAACTCCAATGTAGGTCCTAATCCGCTACCCTCTTCTCCTGTGTATTGCACTTCGAGTGTGGATTCCATCGCACCAAAGTTATCAAGGATTTTGGTAGCTGACATGAGCATGTTTTCACGAGGGATCTTGACCTTGTGTCGTGTGGATTGATGCAAAAGAGGTTGTTGTTGTTGCTGGTCATCAAGCAATGATAAATGGTGTTGCCCTCCTCCTTCTCCATCCTGATTGTTGTTGTTGTTGTTGCCACGCATTTGCAAACTTTGCCACCGTGCCATCAGCCGTGTGTAACCATAAGCTGTGCTTTGCAAAAAGTGGTATCGCGTCTCGAATGGGAATAAGAAATTGTACTTTTGCATAAGCCAATACGTCCAATCAGGTAAACATCCACTGGCAATGATCAAAGATTCTTCCAATTGCCGTTGCATCTTGCCGGTCAACTTGCGATTGACAAAGTCGACGTTGATAGGTGGGTTTCCAATGTTGTTGCTGCTGCTGCTTTCAATCAGCTGGTAAAGTGCTGCAAGCAATTGAAGCACCTTGTCACACGTTGTGCCATTCCCCACGCTTGCAGGAATTGCTGTAGTAGTCGTCGGTTCAGGTATCTTTGGTTCTTGTTCTTGCGTGGATCGTTCAAATCGGAAAGAAAAAGAGAATGAAGATGTCCAAAAGCCCATGCGGCCCATGTTGTTGTTGCTTAGGCTACGATGAATAGCACCATAAATGGTTGTCTCGGGATCGACAGAAACACCTCGTGCGAAAAAGTGCACTTTCCATTGTCCCCCTTGTTTCTTTTGTGTTTGCTGTTGTTGGTTGACGTGGGTGCGTTTGCCCTAAGCATGAAAGGATCAATCATCATGCATAGGATGTTTTTTTGTCAATATACATACTTCATCATCGATTTGCATTGGATCATTCTCATCGTCTTCATCTTCATCATCCGTATCTTGTCCTCGATCAAGCGATTCAATCACATCAGGGTCACACATGGAATCTGCATCCGAATCATCATCATAAGGTTCATAGTGGATGTTGTCCAATGATAAGGTTGAAGCGTTCATGAGTGGGCCAACACGCGTCACAAGGTATTCCTCCAGCATCTTCAGCTTTGCTACCACGGGCACCAGCACCGTATAAGAGCGTTGTTCAAGGGCTCCTTCACCGATAAGACGCACACGAATTTGCTTGTTGAGCATGTTGCTTGGGTTACGGAATCCGTCGTTTGGTGCTTCAAGAGGTGTCACAATTTGAAACTGCTCTGATCGGCTCAGGGCAATCTATACAAATGCGTGAATCAGCCAGTTGAACAAGCATGAATAAGAACACCACATACCTGTAAGCGGTCTATAAGTTTACATAGTGCTTGCTGGTTTGTGTCATCTTTGTTGTGTAAAAGTGTGTCACAGAATGCCGTGCGTCGTGTTGCAAGTGATGGATCGTCGTTGGTGAGATAATGCAATAATGCGTCAAGGACACCTGAGCGTGATAATTCAAAGCTGCTGATACCAATATTGCTGCCATTGATAATTTGAAGGAAACGCTCCAAGGCAGTAGCCGCAGCCGAACCCTCCTCTTTTTGAAGTTGCAGTGAAATCGAATGGAGTTCCTTGAGTCGATCGTTGTAGCCGAATTCCTTGCTGCGTACGTGATAGGAAAGGTTTTCGTACTTGCACATGAAATTCTTTGCCAGCATAATAATGTAACGTTGTGCCAACGTATCACCCAAGCCGTCATTGCCATGTTGTCTGAAAAGGGATATCGATTGTTGATGGTGCTGAGTAACAAGACCAGGAATAGGTGGTGGTGGATGTTGTAATGGAATATCAGCAGTCGTTGCCATGGACTTTTGAGAAATGGTATCAATCTCATGAAGCACGCCTTCAATCTCAAACACGCTGTAATAGACATCCGGGACCTTGGTAACAAGCAATTCGGCTTGATAAAGAGCATCCATTACCAACAACTCGTGGTCTCTTTGTGTGAGAATCTCAACCAAGAATTCAGAGAGAGGGACATTGGTGGTGATGCGTCGTAATGTGTCCTTGTCACAGTAGTAAATGATCTTGGCCAATGCATGGGTGATTTGCTCTCTCAGTGCCACGTTCACCATGGATGTGTATGCTTCAATCAACAAAGGTAATAGAATACGGCCCATGCGTTCAAGTAGCTCTGGCTTTCTTTTCAAGAGTCTGATATGGACGCTCATATTCTCGTTGCTGCTGCTGCTGTTGTTGCTGTTGCCATTGGAGAATCGTCGAAGTACAAGAGGAGGGGTAATGCTGGTTGTCGATGCTTGTGATGATCGTGTTCGTGAAGCAATAGGGGCAGTGTTGAGTAATCGATCGGCACTCCAAAAGTCTAATGAATATCGAGATGAGTGAGTATTCAGGATGGCATCATGTGGGGTAAAAACGTTTACCTTTTGGAAGAGGGGGTAAAAGATCCACAATGATTTTGAGGATAGTTGAAACGGTATCACGCCATTTGGTATCCATGGTGATGTTGACAATCTGCTCGGTGATATCGTCAGGCATAGAGGATGCACCAGTGATGATTTGATAAAACTTGGAGGCGATATCAAGATCCAAAACCTGACAAGTGAGATGAGGAGAGTGGCGAGAAATAGCACGAAAGATGCGTAAGAGATAATTGAAAGCCGAAGGGCGTACAGCGTTGTTGTTGCTGCCATTGACAGGAATCAGCTGAATCAACTTTTCCAAGAGTTGAGGCGTGATCAATTGTTCTATTCTCACTTTGTCGGCACCGCAGCTATCGATCAATCGAGCCCAGCATAAGCAAGTAAGGTCAACCACTGTTTGGTCGGGATAAGAGAGCGTCTCTTTCAATATGTCGATCACTTGATGAATCTCTGCATAAACCTCATCGTCCATAATCTCGATACCACGCATGCAATTGGAAGCTGTTTGCAAAGCACTACGCTGAAAGTGAATCGTAAAGAAATGAAAGTGCTTGACGGCTGCATTGAGACCACCACCGCGTACAACATCTTGAGGAAATTGGATGGACACTTTTTCCAAAGCCTAATAAGAATGATAGGTCAATGATCCTATTGCCATCAATGATAATCATCTTCATCCTTCCTTCCTTACTTACATAAAGTGCCTGTTCCTGCAAATCAATGTAGTCGCTCGGTTCCAGCTTGTCGCAAAGTACAGGTACACCATTATTGGCAACAACAATAGAAGCCGCAGGAGGAAGAGCATCCAATAAATTCGAAAGACATTGACAAGCCAAGATCATCTTTTCAGTCGTTTGACCACCACCTTGGGTAGCAGCTGATAAGTCCATCATGGGATCCTCCGCCAACATTGCCAACATCATTTGCTCATCCATGCCATGATCCAAGGTGGAAGAAGGGGATCCTTTGAGTATCTCCAATAACGTCACCACCAAATCTCTGCAGTGAATTGTACCAGCCAATGTTTCCTCATTGCTGACCGAGAGGATCTCTGCAAGTTCTTGAAGTGCGGCAAGATGTGATGATCCATTGTTGTTGCCATCACCCGTTTGTTGCTTGAGGGTTTGAATCAACGTGTCAAGACGTGAATGCGTGTCATGCAATCCATAGATGCCTTGAAGTCGATAAAGATTCTCATATTCGTCATGCACATGAGCCGTTGTTGTTGAGCGAGGTACAAGTGCAACTGGATCAACCCAATCTTCTTCCTCATCCTCATCCTCTTCTTCACTATCCGATAATGAACGATATTGTGGATAAGCTGCAGGTGTAGGCGTAGTCATTGCATTTGGAACATTGGCGTTGGTAGGTGCACTTTGTTGTTGTTGAATGGTAGCTGTTGGTTTGGGTGTGGTGGTAACTGATAAAGGTGGTGATGATGACACAAGAGGTTGGTTTTTAAGCGGAGCTGACCTGTGGTTTATGCGATGATGATTTTAGCTTCCAGGATTTCTTCCACACGCCCTCACCCAACCAGGTTCCCCGACCGCATAAATAATTGCATATCGATAGTGCCTCCCTTTCCCTCCTTACCGAGTTTTGGGTTCCTTGTTGGTGTTCACTTCCCATGAAGGGTCTCTTGTTGTTGTCTCAGTAGAAGCCGATGCTGCTGCTGCAGTCGCTTTCCCTTTGCCTTTGCGCGAACTAGTACGACCTCCACCACTGCCACTGCTACTAGTAGTACTTGATGATGTCTTGCTGCGCTTTTTGGATACTTGACGCCCACTGTGCTTACGCTTCTTGCTATCATCCCTGAAAATGAAAATAGGTGAGTGATTTAGGTATAGAACGCGTATCAAACAAGATCGCCTCCTGCAGCGACTTGACCACCCATATCTTACTTCATAGACGAGCTATCATCACTATTCTCGGGAACTGGTTGTCGTTTACGCAAGCTGTATCTTTCAGAAGAACCCGATCCACTATGGAATCAATAATAAAAAACAGTTACATGTCAGGTCATGGCAAGGGGGTGGGACAACCAGTGGTCATTTTACCTTGCAGTGGCCACAGGTGTGGAAGAGGACGAGGAGGGATCGCTCATGGCAGTGGATGCAGTGTCTGGAGATGGTCTGTAAGAAGCTGTAGATCGTCTTGTTCTCTTCGATTGGTGCTCCATGGCTGTGGACAATTGAGAACGAGAGAAAAAGAGTGAGAGTGGGTGGGTGAGAGAGAGTGAGAGAGAGAGCGACAGCTGCTGAAACGTGCCTATCTCATTTTCCCTCCCCTCTCGTCATCATCACAACTCCCCCGCCTCCTCCTAAAGAATCATCATCACTTGAGTTACAAGCACTCTTGCCATCATTACCAAGCTATTGGATGCCCATCTTGGAATCATCAGCTTGTGTTTATCTTTATCTATTCTTCTATGCAAGTTGTGTCGCGTGGCACAGGAAGCACATTTTACTACATTTACGATCACTCTTAAAACATCTTGTAAGGATGAGCAATCCACTTTTCGCTGCATGAATATACGGCTTATGTACTACTTTTCATACAACAATGTGCCTGCCAGTAGTACAGAGGATGCATGTCAACTTCAATTTGCAGCAAGCAAATGAGATGGGCTATGTACATGGATAAGGAAAACGAGCGTCATTATATTTCATTCGTACCACATCAGATGATGGTGTGCTTGTATATGTTCTTTGAGCGCTATATTCAAAGCCAAAGCAGCTCAGCAAACGATATCGGATTATACAGGTACGGAGCATGGATCAATTTATGCAAAATCACTTGCCACAATTGACATTTGCCACTATGCATATGATCGGCTATGGTCAGCGTCATTAACATCCTATACTTTTATGTCATCGATATACAGCCATTTATGAAAAAGCAGAATGTTCATTACGTGTTTATTGCATTACCCTATATCTTGATCATAACTTCCTGTTGGTCCCTTTACAAAAGTAGGATAAGGAAAATCGAAAACAACAAAAGCAGCAATGACCAGAGGCAATGAATGACGGGTGTAGTAAAAAGTTGGGACATGTACATGCATTAATACTAGCTATGTATCCTACAGCAGAGGGATCAAGCACCACATCCGCTTTCCTCGTGCCTTCGCAGTGCTGATCAAAACGACGGCGTATCGAATGCTCAAAGTGATTGAGCCGCCGTTTTCTTTCCATGATGGAAAAGCTCCACCGCTTGCATAAAAAAAAAGAAAACGTCACCATCGTGGCCAGGACAGGCCACACCATTGATGGCCGAGCCTTCTTGAATTGCACCCCGATTGAATAATGTAATCTTCCCTTTTTTTGCTTTCATGCGTACAAGAGGTTTATAGGGCTGAATCTTGTCATCGCCTTTTACAAAATATGATTCACCTTGAGGTGACCTTGCACATTCTCATATGTTTGGCCAGTCTGTTGCAGAAAGCGAGATCGCCATTGTTGTAGTATGGCATGGAATCTTCAAAGAGCCGGCTTATTGAAACATGAGGACTTGATGATGACATCTTACAAGATCAATAAGAAGGTCGCAAGGACCTCCAAACTAGTCAATGTCTTGAAAAAGAAGGACCCTGCTTGACTTGTTGACATCAAGGCTATTCTTGTCGAATACACCATGTGCCCACCTAATTGAAGAGAAAGTGAGCAAGTACATCATCAAGCAAGATGATCAGGCTTTACCTTAATAAAAGAGCTACATATCACAACGACAATCAAAGTCGTAGGCTAACAATGAAACGCTAAAGATCACCGTATATTAGTACATGGATCACTTACAAGAAGAATATCCATCATGGTACTCACATAATCTTGGGCTTTGAAGGTGTCAATAATCAAAGAGTGATAGGATGAAAGAAAAGATGTGGGCGGCGACAACATCCTTGTTTATATCTGGATGGTGGGCGTGGGTATCGCTGTGATCACACAGAATGATGAATGGCTGATAGATTGTTGTTGGGGGTTGTCATTGGCGTGTTTGTCGAAGTCCATGGATAAACAAGATGACGGTATCCATCATCCATCTGCTATCACAAATCACTTGCTCTCATCAAGTATTACGAATAAAGCGTGGTGTGAGTAAGTGTGCGATTCAGAAGGTAACGTCGAAGGCAGCTTCATTAACAAGGCTAAAGACTCCATGACCCCAAAGATCCCATGTGGGCAGTACAACAGCTTTTGGAGACTTGTCCAGAAGACTATGTTGGCGGCTTAACATAAGAAAAAGCCATCCTTAGTAGGGATGGTTGAAATTGGAACCATACAACTTTCGCTTGCCAGTAAAAGTTTATTCGATACAATAATACCAAGTTTGTCAATGGGTGGCAGAGCTATGTCTATCAATTAGCGTATTCTATACTTTGGTAGTGTTGTCATTTTATTAGTGATGCACTTGATTTATGCATCGATGTGTACATAGGGACATGCTGGGGAGGCAATATGCTCATATCTGCTGCGGCTGCTTGTCTTTTGGAATCTGGGGGGTTGGGAAAGGTAAAATGGGAAATCATGCAATGGGTCTTTTTGTGCATGTCGAATATTTCTACTTTGATTTACAATATCCGGGAACGTCTATCATCAGTATTTTGGCAATGGAGGACCTGGACAAGGCGATACATATAAAAAGTGATGATTCTCAGATGTCCCATTATGGTGATGGAGGGCTGTTTCATATACCGGGTATGTACACGTTGCCACAAAGGGTTATAAACAACCTTTAATTTCGTGGTCATTGTGACCTCTTCTCTTAGTAGTATGATAACCGCCATAATAAGATGGACCTCCTCCTCCTACATCGTATTTATGAATTACATTGGCTCTCTCTTTCATCGAGGTCCAAGGGGGGGAGGTTTGTTCATAAAGGAGTATGTGCGTATGTTAATTTGGATAAGGCATGTATGACAATGAGTGTAAGTACAATGATCGTCAATGGTTTATTGTTGTGGAGAGAGAGCAGAGAGCGGAACGTTCCGTCCGACGATGAAGAATGGGCGTACAAGAATGAGTTTCATGCAGCTGATGGTCAATGTTCCTTTAAGACCGATATCAACAAATAAACAAGAGAGAGAGCGAGAGATCAATCAACAAAGAGACATGATCTAAAAAAGGGATCTGTAGGGGGTTTCCACCTATATGACTAGGACCGAGATGTGTCATTTGGTTCAAAGGGATGTATGTGGATGTGTGTGTATGTTTTGTGTGTATGTGGGTGTATAATCCCCTTTATCGTACCCCCCCTCTCTCTCTTTCTCCATACAGCTTTCTTCCTTTCTCTTTTTTTTCTTGCTTCTTATCCAACCTAATCCCCCCTTTTTTCCGTCTATCTTGCAAGAGACACACAAAGACATATGCAATCGCTTTCACGTACAACGCCATTCAAGGTCATCAATCCCAATGCATCGCCACCTGATCTCATTACTACCATGGAGGCCAAAAAGCTTGCATCGCCACTACAGCGACAGCAGCAGGCGACGCCTTTGAAAGCAGCAAGTGCAACACAAAGAGCACCATCACAGCAGCAACAGCAACAGGCTTCTCCCACCAGTGCAGCATTTCTATATCAACAGCAACAGCAACAACAAATCCAAAGGCTTCAATACTTTCATTCTCGACCTCCAGTTTATGTGGCTAATCCATCATTTGGTTTACAAGACTTTGAGCTTATGGATACACTTGGTAAATTATGAGACCCGTTTTTCTCCAGGGGATTCAGATGCAGACATGTGTCTATATGAGCGGACGAAAAAAGGGGGGAGGGTCGATGGATTTGTATACTCATTATCATTGTTTATCAATATCATCAGGCACAGGCACTTTTGGACGTGTTTATCTTACCCGTTTCCGTACTACCAACAAGTATTATGCCATGAAAGTATTGAAGAAATCAGAGGTGGTTCGATTGAAGCAGGTGAGTGGGTCTGGAGCTATATATGAAAACAAGGGGCGGGGGAAAGGATCATGATGAAAACATGACGTCTGGGGCAGTGTGTATGTATGTGTGTGATGACAATGTGATGTGGCGCACGTGTGGTCTCTAAGTCTCCATGTTATTGTATTAGGTTGAGCACCTTTTATGGGAAAAGCAAATCCTAGCATCGGTCCGGTTTCCTTTTATTGTTGATCTGTAAGTGCATCATCGTTTTACATACTCCCTTCCTCCTCTTTCAATCATTGTTGATGATGATGCATTCCTACTATTATTTAGCTTTTGTGCCTTCCAAGACAATACCAACTTGTACATGCTACTCGAATACGTGGTGGGCGGTGAATTGTTTTCACATTTACGACGAGCTGGCCGATTCACCAATGACATGACCCGCTTTTATGCATCCGAAATCGTCTTGGCTATCGAATACCTTCATTCAAAAAACATTGTCTATCGCGATCTCAAACCAGAGAACCTCCTTCTGGATCATCATGGACACGTTGTGCTCACTGACTTTGGCTTTGCAAAGCAAATCGATGACAGGTATTTGAAAAGTGGAATGCATACAGCTTTGTTTTGACCATGAATGAGTTTTTAGGACATGGACATTATGTGGTACACCCGAATACCTTGCACCCGAAATCATTCAAAGCAAAGGCCATGGCAAAGCAGTCGATTGGTGGGCACTTGGTATCTTGATATTCGAAATGTTGGCAGGGTATGTAACTCGAGAGGTTGATGGATACAAAAGCGAAATCACTCATCATCTTCATTTCTTAGATATCCACCTTTCTTTGACGACAACTCCTTTGGCATTTATGAAAAGATCCTCACAGGCAAGGTACAATTCCCAAGTCATTTTGACGCATTGGCCAAGGATCTTTTGAAGCGATTGTTGGTGAGCGATAGGACAAAGCGGCTGGGTAATCTAAAGGTAAAAAAAAAGAAGACCTTTGAATGAGACGTGACGACATTGACATGATGTTCAAGGGTGGATCGGATGATATCAAACGACACAAATGGTTCCGTGGTGTGGATTGGATTGGTCTATTGGAAAAGACTGTGCGAGTAAGTCTTTATCATATCCTTGGGAAAACGGTAATGTGACACAAATCATGCAAATAGGCACCGATCATTCCAAAATATCGACATCCTGGTGACACTAGCAACTTTGAGCAATACCCCGACAATCAACTTCCTGAACAAGATCCAACAGGTCAAGATCCTTACAAGGACAAATTCCGTGCTTTTACATCTTGAGGGGATTCCCAATATTCATGTTTCTTTTATCAACACTTTGCTCCATCAACATCATCTCTATCTTACTATTACTATAGCATATTCTTTTCATTGTTGGCTACCATCATTTTTACTTGTTGCCCTTTCTCTTTTCATCCACACACACACAAATTCACATCCCTGCTTTTACTTGGTTCCATTTATTACCATTACAACAACAAAAATCTTTCTCCCTCTCTCTCTCTCTCTCGACTAGCAGCATACATCACCAAAAGAAGAGGGTGGGATTATTATACGATGGGATGACATGTAAAATGTTGTTGTGGTTGAGAAGGATCAGCGGGCAAACAATGCTTCCAACGTTCGAGTAATTCTTGGAGTCTTGTGATTTGACGTTCGATTTGAGTGGCCGAGTGAATTCGTGATTGATGTAATTGGCGACGAATGGTATGCAGAGCACTATCGACATTGTAGCGAGCGAGATCTGCTTGATTCTTGAAATTACGTTCGAGATAATCATACAACCACTCAATTTCTTTTTCGGTGTATCCAATTTGACGCATTGCATTTTCCTCTTGCTCGTACCAAAACTTGGCAAACGACGCACGCCACTGATCGGTCTTTTTGTTGAACTTGTCGACGGCTTTATCAGCAGCTTGGTTTAATGAATGCACCGCCAATTCGGCTGATCGGGATTGAGCCGCCACTACAGCATACTCGGAAGTTGCTTGGTCACTGATCACCGTGCCCGTATCAAATTGACGCTGCCACCAATGCCATGCACATGAAGTCCATGTACGTACACGTGTTTCTACCCATACACGCCATGCATGGGGATCAATGGTGAACGTCCATACACCTGGTGACGGTGCATAGTCCTTAAAGACTTGCTTGTATTCTTGCAATTTTTCTTCCAATGCATCCAATACACGATCCGCCTCCTTGATACCATGATGTTCCATCAATTCTTGACGAACACGAGCACGCCAACTGGGTGTCCCAATATCTTGCACACGTAACACGGCCTTGCGTAACGTATTAGCAACAGCCTTGTTTTGCTCAACACTGAGAAATGGAACTCGCCAGTATTCATCTTGGCAGCATAGTTGTTGCTCTTGTCCATGGCCACGGAAAAATCGCCGAGCCCATACATCGTTGACGAGTGCTTCATCAAGATCCTTTTGAAGTTGCACAAATTGACTCGGCGTAAGCCGTTCTTTGAGATCATGAAGTTCGCATTCTATCTTAAGTTTGGATAGCTCGCCTTTCAATTCAAGTCGACGCAAGCGTAATTTCAAATCGTCAAGTAATCCAGGCTGTGGTAATGGATGTCGTAGTCTCGCTAGTAATTGCTCCACATCACCTATACAATAAAAATTGTTTGTTGGATTCAAACTCTGTGTTTGGGTTATAGTAGTAGCTGCTAACCTCTTGTGCCAATAATGCACACACAAGCGATCACCAAAAGTAGTATTAGAATACGCATGAATGTGTAGTATAGTAGGGAGTGAGAGTGAAAGGAAAACGAAAACTTGGCGGTCAATAGGGCGGTCCTTTGTTGGAGAGTATGAGAAATGCAGCGGTTTCACTTTATGAATCCGAGACAACAATTGTCAATAGGCACATGATTTATTCGTTCAATGTATGGAAGGGTATGCGCTACTTCTTTATGAAAAAGAGAACATGGTAAAGTATATGGGAGGCTTTTTTTAAAAGAAAGGGAAAAGGGAATGGATCAAGAAGGTATCTTTATGTGTGTAATTAGGAAGCGGCTATTTGTATGGCGGTTTCTTCGGGTACGACATCATCCAAAACACTGCTGCTGTTGTTACTACTGCTTGCCATGCTGATACGGTTGCTGCTTGTGGTGGGCTCACCAGCATGATTAGATGACGATTTGTTGGATTGTTGAGGTGGTGGTGGTTGTAGCAAGTGTGGATTGCGAGTTGACATGTAACCTCCTTTACCACCAAGATCCAAAGCACCAAGTACGGTATGATAAAGGAACTTGTACGACCAAACATTGCCACGCATACGTCGAATATCCACAATGTATAAACCAGGCAAGTTCTTGATCTTGCATACTTCGATATCAAAGCGCACTTCCTCGCCTGGATCCACCACAGGATCACCATAAATCAATGATGCATTATTATTATCTTCGGCTGCCGTGGTAGTGGTGTTGGTGGATGTTGTGTTGCTAGGATTGTTGCTAGGTCGTCGTAAAAGTTTACGGAAACGTGGGCCACCATTCATCCTTCGCTTTTTGGGATCCGTGGATGATGAAGGTGATGGATGTTGTTGTTGACGACGTTTCCTACGCACACACTTGAGCTTGTATTCACCATCATCCTTGACATCAATGCCAATCCTGAGCAATGTTTGCTTGACTTCCAACAAGACTTGTTGTGGTCGTCGTGATGTCAATGCATTTTGAGCCACAGCACCGTGATACGTGCGTAACTTGCTGTCATTGAAATCGACACCATACGATCCAAGTGGTTTGTTTGTAGTAGCAGCAGTAGTAGCACCGCCATGATGTAATGGATAATTGTCTCGCGTGGCTACATGAACAACAATGAATTCATGATCCCTTTCTTCAATGCTCATTGTTTTACACTTACCCATTGGTTTCTTTTTGAACCAATCCATCAACTTTTTGCCAGCGCTCTTATGCTTGAATTCCTTGCTGGATGGATCAGGTGATGTTGGACTAGGAGGCATACGACTGACAGGTTGCTCAGAGGCAGATGGCATAGGTTGTCTCTCATCATCTTCCTTGACGACCTTGATACTCGGCTTACTAGCACTGCTAGCAGATGATACAGCAGTTGGACGATTGGATGAACGTCGACTGGAGAATGATATGGTCTTTTTGCCAGTCTCTGAATCCGTTGCCATGGGATTGACTAGCAAGCTAAGAGCCTTGCGACGTGTACCACGCGATGATGATTGTGGAGTAGGCGTAGAGGGTTGTGGTGCAGGGGGACGAGGCTGATACAAGCTTGCGCGTGATGGATCACGTTTATCCTTGGATGGTGTTTGTGGTAATGGCTTATGCTCCAAATGACCAACACCATTGGGCGTACTCATAGTCGATACAGGTGATGTGGTTGTATTAGTCGTCTCCATCATAGCTGGATCATGTTGTTGTTGTTGTCGTTGAACACTTGAAAGGAATTTGGCATGCAAGATAGAGCCTGATGTTGCAGGAGAAGATGATTGTTGTGATGGAAGAGCTGAAACGGGTCGTTTGGAAGAGGATGGAGTAGTCTTTGGAAGTAGTAAACTCTTGATACGATCACTTCCACGCTTCTTACTGCTAGCAGATGGGCGTGGTTGAGGCGTGGTGGGAGGTTCTTGTTGCTCATCTACCATATTGGTATCTTCTTCAACTTCGGTAGGCTCGTGTTGTTGTTCCATAGGCTTTTCTTCAGTACTGATATGTGCTGATTCAGGTAATTCGAGTGATGATGGGTTGTTGTATGTACCCTCTTCCTCCTCCTGCTCCTCGTTTGTAGCAGCAACAATTGGTGTTTTGTTGTCTTCGGCAGCGAGTTCCGAGATTGATTCGCTATGCACAAGATTCTCCTTTTCTTTTTCAGAAGGACCACTTGAATCAATATCCATGCTATCTTGGGGCACCATTTGATCATCATCATCATCATCCTCATTCGTAGGTGTAGCCATTCGTTCCTTTGATTCAGGCACCACGCCATCCTCTTGATTATTATTGTTCATGTCAACGGATGGTTTGTTGTCAGGTTGAGCTGGTGGAGGAGTAGGTTCTTGAACAGGTGTAGGCAATGGCAAGTCAGCTGTGCTCTCAGCTTCTCGCTCAAGCTCATGAATCGATCGATGGAACAGAGAACGGTGAGGGCTGAGCCAAGGGTGATCCATAATGGTTTCCATAGTACAACGCTTTGCAGGATCTGGAACAAGCATCTTGCGCAATAAATCGCGTGCTTCAGGGCTGACATAATCGGGGAAGGCAAGCTCGGTGTTGAGGATATACTTGTAGAGCAAATTGATATTGTCGCCATCAGGGTTGGCAGGATCATCATCAAAGGGCAGGTATCCACACAACATGGCGTATAAAATAACACCGCATGACCAAATATCGACAGCTGAACCCACGTATAATCCTTCGCTGATCACAAGTTCGGGTGCCGCATAGCATGGTGATCCACACGATGTTGACATGAGATCATCCTTGGTTGAAGAGAATTGATTTGCAAAGCCAAAGTCGGTGATGATAACGCATCTATTCCGATCGAGTAGCAAGTTTTCCTAAATAAAACAAGTGTATAAGACTTGATGGCTTCTCAATGGCTGATGATGATGATGTATAAACACATACCAACTTGAGATCACGATGGATAATGTGCTTCTGATGCATGTAATGAACGCCGCTAATGAGTTGAGCAAAGAGTCGACTAGCATCCTTCTCCTTCAAGTATCGATGCGCCAAGATGTATTCAAATAACTCGCCACCTAGTAACAAAGATGATTGTAAGTGATCAAAGGGGCTAATTTTGCAAGTGAGAAAGGCACATGAACATACCTGAAGCGCATTGAAGAATAATGCCAATGTATCGTTCAGTCTCCAGGACGTCGTATAGTTTAACGATATAGGGGTGTCGCACTTTCTACATGATTTTGCCACGGGAATGGCTTGTGAGCACGTGTTTGTATCAGGCACACACACACAACACCCCCACGCACCCACCCACACAACAACAACAACAATCAAATGTGCATATTTACCCTTAAAACGTTGATCTCCCGCTCAACTTTACTCATCCTCGTGGTCGAGTCAATGTTATCCTTTTTAATCAATTTGATCGCCACCTAACATAATAAAGCCATGTGAGTCATTTGTGTGTATGAGATACACGCACACACACACACATACACAAAACACAAACATACCTCATGGCCAGTTTCGATGTGGATGCCCAATTTAACCTTGCCAAATTCACCTTCACCCAATGTTTGTAATAACAAGTACGGACCAAAGACGGTAGGTTTACGACCAGGAGGTGGATGATAGTGGTACAGCTGATAATAATATTGCCACCATGGTTGCTCGGCTGCTTGAGCCAAGAGTTGTTGTTGTTGTTCTGCCAGCTGTTGTTGGTGTCGAAGCACAGCATGTTGTAACTCACTAGGCATAGCTGTAACAGAATAAGCACGCTGTTGTTGTTGTTGGTGCCTTGGAGAATAAGGTGCAAAGCCTGGTGATGGTGGCGGTGGCGATGCATAATATTGAGAGGAATTGTAATAGTTGGCTTGGGTTGTTGTCGACTCGGTCAGTGTCGATTGAGGACGTTGACGTTGCTGTTGGTGGTGGTGTTGTTCCTGGCCAATGTCATCTTGTAGCAATGGGTGTTGAGGTTGGTTTGGAGGTATTGAAGCATGGTCGACCGTCATTGCGTGTGGAATAGGGGCATCTGTGTTGTCGTGATGAGCAGAGGTGTTGGTGTTGGAAGAAGGAAAGGATTCCTGCGCAAGCGGGTGTATCATGCTGGTGAATATGAAATTGGAAGGCACTCAAAAAGGGGAGATACACAAAAGGGAAAGAAGAGTAGTAAACCGCTTGAAACGAATACGGGATGCAAGGAGAATAGTACGATTGTAAACGTGTGTGTGCGTGTATGCGTGTGTGTATGCGGTAAATGGGAACAAATGAATAATAATACTTTGTCGGCTTACAGGCACATGTAAGGATAGTTCGGAAAAGATGTTTAAAGAAGAAAGAGAGAAAGAGAGAGAGAGAGAGAGGATTACTTTATGCTTACGAGTTCTCGTTGTCTTTTTGATTGCCACACACAAATATACACAACATATACACAACACACGCGTTCTTTCTCTCTTTTTCTCCTTGTTATTCTTATATCTTGCCCGTCTCATCAAACTCTGTCATCCATAAACTTTCTCTTCTCAGCAAGCATTGGGTGCACCACCATTTGAGCGGATCCAAATCAAAGTTACACACGCAATTCGATTGCCACCCGCGTCTGGCGTTCAGGGTCACCATTTATAGATCGTCTTCATGAGCCTCTCACCATTTTTGCCTACATCACTCGTTTGTCTTCAATCCCATCAACCAAAACCCTCCTCCACCTCATTTTACAACGCATGTACTTATTCTTCTCACACACTAAACTGCATCTTGTTATTAACCATATGCGTGACCTTGTCACTTTTTGCTCTCTCCACTTTACATTGTATTCAACCCATTCTACTACCTATTGCAAAAACCATGTTGCACAACAGCGGTGTATACAACTTGTTGACAAGTCGGATAATCAACATCACGCAAAGCGAACGAGAGAATCACCCAATGCCTTGGATAGGTGTTTGTGGAAAGCTAACATGAGGATGACAAATAGACGACATCATTGCCTACTACTACTATGATGATGTGCTTTAGTGTCGTACAGCCTTTGAATTGCTATGGGGTGATCTAAATCACCGTAACTGTCATTCGGGCCTGGTGATGATACGTACATGGCATGCATCATTACCCGCGGCTGCTGCTGATACATAGATTGCATCAACATATGACTACACTTGATCTTCTTAATGCACAAAAATCATCCAAGAACGATTTTATTCCCCCTCCCTTATCAAATAAACCCATTCCATTATGCTGTCGCAGAATCAGCCACTATGTATGTGTGTGTACAAGCCAACCTTGTTATCATGGATCAAAAAGGAGGTAGATGACGCCTATCGCAAAAACACGGAAGGATCGGGAGGAAATGCCGGGCCAAGACTGCTTTGTTATACTCATCAACCAAATGTTTACCTTTCACCCGGACTGTCTTTTATATATTAATCATGCATCACATGCATGCTGCGTACACACATATACAAAAGTAGCAAGTCCAAAGGGATAGGTAATCTTGTGTACAGAGAGTGTGTGTAGCTTCTTGGCTTAACCCCCTTGTGCATTGTGTGCCAAAAACAGCATGCCCACAGACTTGAAAGCCCACATGTCAAGATGAAATGATGCGAGGATGAGATATTGTTGCATGTAAAAGTGGAAGCATTATACTACTATTACATACATCAGATGCAAATCGGACGTTGTTTCAAGAGCGCACCTGGTTGATATTTGAATGTGTCAATAACCATATCCGACAAGGTGATGATGTATTACCATCATCATCAGCCATCAGCAAGAAGCTGTTTATAGCAAAAGTGCGGCACAGGCGTCAAAGCCAAGCTTACTTTTATGATAAAGAAAAAAGGAGGTGATGGGAAAGCACATAGCAAAAAGAGGAGGGGTGATGGTTTCCTCTTTATGTATGTTGCTATATTTATTGTATGGTGGAAAAGTCGCATGTTGCTGCATGCATGCACGTCCTTCTTGTCAATTTCTTTTGGCTGTCCCCGTATGTTCTCTTTTTGACAGGTTATCAAGTTGGTGGGAGACACGGTGCCACAAGACAACACTTGGTTTTCGCTTGGACGTAATTGCAACAAACGTAAACTGTCAGGTTGATGGTGGGATACATACACGTCAACATGTGGGGGATTGTATATGTCTTTACATGGCTGATTGTGCATCCTCCTTTTTTGCTATAAAAAGCAGAGTGCCGGTCAAGCCCACCATCACGAGAGACGTTGATGCTACTAAAGCAGTGCTGAGCGATATTTCAACAAGCCCACCTTTCTTCTTTAATTTCTTCTCTTGTCATTGCTTTCCATATTCATTCTCCTTTTTCTTCTTCTTGGCTTCCCTCGTCCACCATAATACATCAACAGCCATGCACACTCAACAACACTTTCACCCTGTCATCCTCTTCCATGACCAGCAAGTCGCCTATGGTGACCCTTATTACCAACCCATGATTCAAATTAAAAAGGAACGTACAAACGAGATGCTTAGAGTCAACAGCCAATGGTGGCAGCATATAGCAACATCAATGATGGATGATGGCAACGAGGATGATGACACCCTTACCACCACTGGCACCAGCAACAGCAACAGCAGCAGTCCTTTATCTACGGCATCGTCATGCTCGTCATTGTCTCCAAAACCATGCTTGACATCTCCCTTACATCATCAGCAGCCATATCTGTCACATCAGCTTGCTGCTGTATCTGAAAAACCAAGACCAACAACAAAGATTACCAAAGACACAAGGCCATCCATGTCCACCACCAATCATGTCAAGCGTCGACGCGGCAATCTACCTAAATCAGTCACCGCTATCCTAAAGCAATGGCTGATGGACCATTTTCAACATCCATATCCCACTGAACAAGAAAAAATGATGCTATGTCGTAAAACGGGCTTGACAGTGAGCCAAATCAGTAACTGGTTTATCAATGCTCGACGACGCATCTTGCCATTGGTGCGTATGTCTCACCATCAACAATAATCATCACACCGCCACCCATCATCGTCGTTTGCTTTACCAACAAAAAAGCAGAACCCCATTGTCACTCGTTGTCTGTATCTGTACCACGTATTACCAAGACCCAAGTCGTGTGACCCAGCTCCCCATTACCCGTTTTATATATATACTACACACGCACGCATACATATTTCTCATCATCTACCATCCTCCCGGTATCGCATCCTGTCTAATGTATTTTTTACACGCTTTATCATTTCCCATAAATGTTATACATTCATTATCTACTTTTTTGTTGGGGTGATGAAAGAGCGTGCGAATCGATCTGCTGCATTTCATTAGATTAGATATAGCATTCTATATCACCACCACCCCTCTTCTATCACCTTCCATAATGGATGTGTATTATAAAGCACACGTTGTGTATGTGTGTGTCAGCAGCCTAGACCACCCGTCGCAGATTCTGTATATCGATAAGAATGGATAGCGTGCCTCACTCGGCTTCGGTTCCGGTACGGCCCGTTGTTCAAAAATGGGCGATGTTGAGATCAAAAGGAGAGGAAAGAGTGAAGCTGAGAAATGAAAAACGTGTATAAGTCACCAGGTCCAAATGAGTGTTCATGCATGATCAAGAAGTCCGTTCATTTGTTGGCACGCATTGTGGACAAAAGAAAATCGTTGCGGATCTCCAATGTGTGGGACAACGCATTGTCCAGGTTACAGTTTGCCCGTTTTGGGATGATAGGGAGAATTGATCTGCTACATCTTGCTGATTACAATAATGATGTATGCATTGGTATGCGTGTGTGTGTGTGTGAGAATGATATCAAGAAACGCCCATTGTCTGCTGATTGTTTGTGTGTATAAGAGAGAAAGAGAGAGATGTATCTTGTACACGCTTGCACGCTAATGGTAACAATTGTTGGGGAAAGCGAAAAGGGTTACAGATCCGACGACCCAATGCGGTTTAACACTTGTTTCTTGCAACATGGTGTGATAAGATCATGGACGCACGCACACACACTTCTGCAATGTAAAACAAACAAAAGGTCGGCTATTGTTGGTCGCTGGTTGCACCATCATCTCGGATAAGTATACAATAATAGCGACATCCCTGTATAAGGTAAACGAGTGTGGAGCAAACCTTGATACCCAAACAACCGCCAAAACCTTGATAATACGATAGCAACATTGAAAAAGCAAACCACCACCATCCTTTTCATTCCAAAGGAGATCGAATGACAAGGGAGATAATGGCTTCAAAAAAGGTATGGCAAGTATGCAGCTACTCTCTCTACCTTTATGCTGGTACACTCAAACCAGCAATAGTCTCGACTCGTTTTAGACCTCCTTGCTTTTACTGTGCCTCTCTTTTAATTCCGGTTTGTTTCCCTTGGATGGCAGGTTGATAGGCAATAGAGATCTTTATCACCATGTTGATATGGTGTGGGAATGCATCTTTCTCCTCCCTCCCCCAACCATAGCAAACAACAAAAAAAAAGTTTTCACTTGTATAACAATAGGATATTATCTGATATCCACCCACACTGCCGGTTGCTTTGACATACATAAAAGGTCCCTATCAGGGTGCCACACCACCAGTTTTCTTTCTCCTCGAGCACTTCCTTCAAAGCAACTCCTTTTCTTCCCATCTTCTTGCAAGAGGCCTGTTATTCTTTCTCTTTGCCTTTTCTCCTTTTTATTCTTCTCCCATATTATCAACATGGCTCTAGCACCTACCACATACTCGCCACCTAGCATGTATCTTAATGCCCTTGACAAGCATCACCATCATCATCATCATCATCATGTCCATCATATCCATTTTTCTTCTCTTACCCAACAAGCCGAACGACGGCTACAGCAACAACAACAACAACAACCCCACCTCCAACGACGAGTAACCCTATTGCATCAAAAGCCAATGGCTGCTGCTGTTGCTATACAACCATCATCCACAAAAAAGAACGAAGAACATGCTGTGCATAAAAAGAAGACCAAATCGGTGAGATTCCATGAGGACAAGCTTGAGCACGTACGATTGTTTCTCAAGACACAAAGACCTTTGGCTGTACGAGCGGGTGATCCTAAACGGTCGATGCCAGCACTAACAGCCAAGTTTCCCAATTGGCCTGAAAAGGTTGTCATGACACGTCAACGCGACGACACAATGGTGCGCATGGAGACCGTGCAGCTGCTTGATCAAGATGATGATGAAATGGTGATATTGACAGGGCGATGTCGAGTAGCCAACATTGCATTCCATAAACGTGTGGTGGTGCGATACACAACCGACTATTGGCAATCCTATCATGAGACTGAAGCTGTCTACCGTGAGCCGATTGGCGCTAGTGCTAACACATGGGACCGATTTACTTTTCGTATCAACCTTGAACAACAACAACAACCTTGCACTGTATATATGGTACTACGCTACACGGTCCATGATAATGAATTTTGGGACAACAATGAAGGGCTCAACTACCAAGTGGATCTTGAATTGGCCGAGGATGATGACGATGTTGATGAAGAAACGTTATCTAATACTACCAAGGTGCCATCCAACAAGGAGGGTGCATTGCAAAAACATGACAATGGATTACTCAACAACAACAACAACATCAAGCATCAAGAAAATCCACGTCAAAAGAAAATCGTAAAGAAGAAACTTGGTCATCGATATGACTTTGGTGCATCCTTATCTGCCGCCAAAAAGATGGAGCCTATGGTGAAGCCATCGTTTGCCAACATGCCTACAACAACAATAACAGCCACCCCTGCGCCCTTTGTCATGATGACGGCGACCTTGGAGAATGACGACCAAGCTAAATACCATGACCTGGTGAGCAAATATTGCTTCTATGGCAATCCTCGTGCAGCAACATCTGGTGCCGCTGCTTCTGCAACCACCGCTGAGCCGATCTGCGGCTAAAGACACTTTCCACATCATTGTTGGTCATCATGAGAATCTAAAAACTACTTTTTCTTTTTCACCTCAATCATAAAAAACCACACACATTCTTGTACATATACACACATTTGCTCTCTCACAAAAAAATGAAGTTTTGTTCTTGATTCCTTTTTTTCATTCTACAATAAAATTTGTTGTCATTTGCATTGAATACCATCATGTACAAGGTTGTGTGTATGTAGTATCGCGTTCTCGACTTTTTACGGTAGAATCAGGTGACGGGGTCGATGAACGCGTTGTGTACAGAATATACTATCATGAAGAAGGATGATGATGTGAATTCACCACCAACCACGACGCACGAGCCTACCTACATTTCTCGTAAAGGTCGTACTTGGCTTTTTTGTCCAACGTGGGATGATGGGATGATTAAGGAGAAGGTTTCCCCAACAATCCTTATTCGATTGACAGCCTTAAAATGTAAATTATCTCGAGTGATCCAAACAAAAAGCGGCGTGCATCATGCGCTCAATAAGCGTTTCATAATACTTTTAGTTGCCCAATACGTGTATATGACTACCTCCTCACTCCATGATGATGATGATGGAAATTTCTATCCTAGTAGAGTTTCTCCTCCCCCCACATCATAACGAGATACGGAGGAGGTCACCTTACTTCAATTAGAGTGATTGGTACAATGATAGTCGCATTCGATATCTCACGTTGCATTACATTCATGCAGCGAGGATATGCACTAAAAGGATAAATCAGAAAGGTTTGGGTTTGCGTTACGAACACCAAAATTTTTGTGTGTGCGAGATAATAATCCATGGAGATGATCACGCAATGGGCACTTTTTACGCCACACAACGCGTGCTTCTTTTAGACATTGCCCGCGGGGTAAGGAAGTGATATGAAAAACATTTACCATCCTAACAACATCAACAAATATTACCAATCCCTTTGTTTGTATATACATGCGATACATCTTCCCGCGCATTTTTTATTTGCCTCGCTGATCTAAATACTATAGTAGGTATGACATGCAATGTACATAGTCGTGGGAGCTAACAAAAGTAGTGTAATCAGGTTCATATCAGGTACAGGCCGCTGTTTTGCTGTCACCATCTACATACAATCTGGATTTTCACACAGCCTAAGAAGGATGATGGGTGATTTAGATCTCATCATGTATACGATCACCTGCGCGCACACGCCATCTCACGTACCGTAATGCTATGAAAGAGAAAAAGACATTGGTTTTCTTGTAAAGCGATCTGGATGATTGATATCCGATCATGTATACTGTAGGATGCAGAAGCGTGGATAAAGTGCATTAACCATGTCCTAAATGTTGCTTCCAAAAGCCGTCAATCTCGCTTGCATATCGACCCGCTATCTAATCCTCCATCCTATTCAAGCCGTCCTTCCTGCCATCTTTGTTGTGATTCATAAGACACATTGATAGCCAATACATACATGAGACAAAGTTTTATTGCACATGCATTCTAATTAGTGATAGATCGCATCCATTGCTTGAAGGAGACAGGCTCGAATGTTGTGCGTGATGTTGAAAGAGTCACTTGATCAATGCAAAGCACCAGTACTTTTGCTTTTGTCGTACAGGATCTCCCGCATCACCATGTTCATACAATGCTCCCTCGATAATATCATCGGTGCTCGGACTAGTATACATAACGTTGACTCTGAGGGACTCATGTTCACATGGCGCATTGGGATTGGTAAAGGCGCTGTTGATGGCATCTTGCACAAAAGGTATTCTGGAGCGGTTGATGTACTTGAGCGATGCTGTCGTGGAATAAGCGATAAGCCGGGATCATGCACTTCTCGTTAACTTGTCTTTCGATCTCAAACATGACGATGGCAAAGGTATGAAGGACCATCCATGAATCCGCTTGCGCAGTAATGTAGCTGTTGTTGCTGCACATTCAAACTTGTGACGACATGTTGATTCAATGCTGGTCCTTGAGTATGGTGTGGCCCGACAAAAATGAAGAGTAGTGATATCCCTTGTTCGCAACGATACGCATGCTGTGCCTTTTTCACGATTAAAAAATGAAATGCCCAAGACTTCCTTTCTCATCAACATACCATGACCTTCCAACTTGATCCTCTTTTGACGTCCATCACCATATGGCTGGCTTCTCCAGCTTACACTTCTCATGACGCGCAATGACCACGGATGCTTCATACAAATTGGGAGTTGGATGATAAGGATCCACACAGGAAGACCGAAAGGAGAGTAACACTTTGTCACTATTACAATAATAGCATCCTTCATTATTAGCACACATATACAATAAACGTCCTTTTCATTGTTTGCTTCATTGTACTTGCCTTTTCCATATACATAAAAACCCCTTTGTTGTTGGCTACTGGAGTCCGAAAACCGTGGTGTAGTGTAGTTGAGCCGAAACAAAATGCCAAACGAGCCAACGTCTTGTAACCAAACTTGCCCTCTATACAAGCTGACGCGTCAATGGAACCAATTCGGCTGCAACATTGGACTCTGAATGTACCTGTTGACACCAAGCGTAAGGCGGGAATAGCAACGGACAAGAGGAAGCAACGATATCGCCATGGCAACCACCAACCACCCACCACGCTCATTCTTCAGCACTTTGGACACGCTCACTCACTGACAATGCATGTTCAGAACTACATTAACACCTCAAAACCAACAAGAGCACTCTTCTATAATACATTACCTTGATCGGGATGACGTGCATTGGATAAAGGCAGAGGAGGGAGAAAAAAGAAGAGAAGTGTTGTCTCAAGTCGTGGAGCTGCTGTCCCCCAAGTTTAAATCCCCTACTGCTATTACACTGAGGCCACTCAATGACCCCACACACACCCATCCACCCATCGTCATCATCACCCTCACGATAGACAATAGGTACACGTAAATAAAAGAAATGACGATCCTCATGTATAGCAAAAGGGTGTGTGCCATTTTACACTTTACGTGGTAATGATGATGATCCAACAACAGCCATTGCCCTACCTTGCGTGGATTGACATGCGAGGGAGTTTGCCCTAGTATTTCTTATGTCCATTCATTTCTACCATCGTCTCTCTCTTTTTCTTCTTATTATCTCTCAAGCACTCAGGAATGATAACAACTAAAGGCATTGGTGGTTTTTAATTGACAGCTACTCTGTCGCTCTCTTATCAAAAGAGTCTCGGTAGTCATGGTTTGGGTTGGCAAAAGCCATGGCGGCCTTCATGCGGTCATCTCCGTAAGTACTTGGGCCTTTTGACTCAAGGAAACTAACAGCCACATGCTAGTTTAGCTTTATTGTCAATAAAAAAAAGAGATTGTTTATCTACTTTTCCTATGTGCACATGTTGTGTGTTGATACAAGTGTCTATGGTGGTTGTGTTGTGGGACGATTTGGGGAGTTTTGATCGTGAGCAATGTACGATGGCTGATCGGTAGAAAGCCTTTGAAATGGGTTATCGCGAGGATGGGTCCTGATAAGAGAGTAAGCGAAAGCAGATAATAGCTTTCCCAGATCTAGACGTCTACATTAAACAATAAAAGAGTGTAATGTTGAAACGGTACTTGTTCTGTTGCCATGGAAGTCGAGTCGTGTTTGAATTGCGCGTGTTGTTGTTGTTGCTATGGAATCAAGAACGTTGCCCTTGGCCATGGAAACGTGCTACTGGTTGCCCGGTTGCGTTGGTTACACGCATGTGTGCTGGATACTATCCTTCCCCATAAGCTGGCTCCATTCCTCAAACTATATTCTTTGTTCTGCTCAGGGTGCATGCACCAATGACAATGAATGCTATATCTACCGTGATCATCCAAATGTGCTGCCATCCTATTTAGCCCCTTCCTCCATCGATACAAAAACATCATCCACAACACTGCTTTTGGGAAAATGAAAGGGGGACTTATCTACACTGTGAGACCAGAACTGAGACTTAATTCGAGACCAGCTCAGTCCTGGCGAAGATTTAAACATGTATCCAGTACACTTCTTAGCTTGGTTACAGCATTTAATGATACCTTTGAGTGGCAATCAATTATCTTTAACCGTTATTAAAAGATTGGCGTTGTATATTGAGTGGTGTATCTTTGTCGTAGACCGAGGAGAAGGAGGATGAGACCAATAATCCTTCTTGCTTGTACCTTAGCATTTATTGTCAATAACCATAGGACGAAGACTCTGAACTAACCATGTACCTGATAAGAGTGAAAAAGCATATGCAAAGCTGACTAAAGCTACAGCTGCAACATCCCAAATTCCAGGCACTATGGAGACTTTGCTACAGGGTTACTCCATATGCCGTCGTTTAAGTTGAGATCATAGCCAGCTAAACCTCATTGTGCTCTTCTGGATATGGTCTTTGTAGTAAAAGCTGGATATAATATACATGGGACATTTCGCGTACGACACGGCATAGTCAAGGTAAGGGCCCACCATTCCATATTTGGTAAGAGTGGCGAATTGGCCACTCTTACTGTATTAGATCAGCCAGGACATTTAATGATGCTCTCAACAGCAATCTACCTCCACAACAATGTGTTGCACCTATATCCAATCTACAACTTCGCGATATGAAGAAATTGGAGGAATCCGACAGGGTAGTTCTTTTCCAAAAGCATGCTCAGGTAATGCACGACAGCAATGTCCATCAAATGGTGCTCACGTATCAACAAATAATTGCCGTCGTTAATGTTTTTGGGGTTCGAGAACAATGGAGGAGCCGTAAGAAGTCTTTGCAACAGCTTTACGGCGTGCTTGTAACGAGACCAGGGCTATAACCAAAGATGCGGCAGCTGTAGATAATAACATTTCGCCCTCATCCCTTTCACGTGAGCCAATGATACACCTTCATACCATCCACACGAGAATTAAATCTGTGCAATGAATCCAGAACGGCCCCCAAACTATCGCACTCCATGAGTAGCGATATTCACGCATCAACAATGACGCGTTTCTGCTTCATGCTCCAATGAGCCTTCAACATCCTTATCTCCTGCTCAGTGAATATGTGACCGTTGTGCATATTTATTTTCATTCGATGGATCCAGAACGCCCTCAAATTATCGTACTCCACGAGCAGGGATATTCACGCATCAACAATGAGATGCTTTCCTTATCTCTTGCTCCAGAACCAATAACGAATCAACTTTTTTTCTTCTGCACGTGGCCATGTGATCCGCAAGATGGGTTTTTTCATGTTTGCCTATTCCCCTTTCTGCTTCTGGTATGCCATGCAATGTCCTCGAAGCGTTCTTTCCCTCCTGCTCACTGATCCAAGCGTTCGTGCGTCAATATAATACGACCGCCTTATCCTTTGGTGCTTGGAAAGTAAAGCATTCATGCAACGGCCCCTATGCACACGACCATTATCTCTTTGTGGGAAACAATACATTCACCATTTTTCTTCAACACGTGGCTATCTGAGACGAGATGCAGATTTTGACGCAGCTTCTTTTTTGGTCCTTTCTGCTTTTAGTGCATCACGCACTATCTCAATCGTCTTCATTTTTTGCATTCGATGCGACGCTCTTGCGTTTGCGTTATTGTACCAAGAGTTCTCTTTTGATTGAAAGTCTATGAGAGACCAACGGCTTTCTTTATTGTTTGTTACACGTGGCTATGTGGACCGCATTGTCAAATCCTGCACGTCGATGAGATTCATGCACCAACAATCACACACATGCCATCCTTATCTCCTGCCGAACGAACCAATGCGATCATGCATCGGCGCCAAGGAATGTTGTCTCATGAGCACGACATTTTCCACCACTGTTTTGTCAGGAGTCTCCTTACTGGCGGAATAAACGTTGACTCACACAATAGTGACATTGAGAAATAAAAGTTGATCACCCCAAATCTTGCGTTCTTTTACCTTCTTTTCTTTTTTTTTTCTCTCTCTCTCAAGTCTGCTCTCTCTCTCTCTCAAGTCTGCTCTCTCTCTCTCTCTCTCTCTCTCTCTCTCTCTCTCTCTCTCTCTCTCTCTCTCTCTCTCTCTCTCTCAAGTTCTCTCTGAAGCTCTCTCTCTGCTCTCTCTGAAGCTCTCTCTCTGCTCTCTCTGAAGCTCTCTGCTCTCTCTCAAGCTCTCTGCTCTCTCTCAAGGCCTTGTTGGCTCTCTTTGGTGGTCTGTGTCCTTGTCGGCTGGTATGGTGCGTTATATCAAGTAAACCGCCCTCATGCTTGTCCGTAGTCACAATGGCACATTTGCAAGATCGCCACCATCAGTCATCACTGAGTTAGCGTAGTTGATGCAATACGAGGTAAGTTGATGATGAAGGATTAAGTTTAATATGAATATTAACAACATTTTCACTCTGACCAATCCAATCCTTTGGCTACACTCCTTCTCATCCTCTTGCTGGTCCTACCTTTATTGGCTTTCTTTACTTGCTATTCCCATTATTATTACTTGTGCCTCCCTTTTCTTTGTATACTACTTTTGTACATTTTATTGAAATACCGACAATAGGTAAGGTTGATGACACATTTATTATTTCGTTGTTCCTCATGCAGCCATCCAGTGGAAAAGGTTCCTTTTTAACAACTAGGAAATCCATCATCGTCAATGCATAAGCCGACGTTCACATCCATTTGCATGTAACCTACCTGAACCAAAAGATTCGGCATCAGTGGCTCGTAATCCATCAGGGATGCCAAATTCTTGAAGGACGTGTATGTGGTCGTGGTTTGCAGGGTTATTGGGACTTTTCTTATTTCATTGTTGTCAATGATGTGCTTAGCATACACTTCCTCCTCGTGTTCTCGGCTCACGGTGTTGTACAAGAGTACTCCTACTGTGTCCAACGTGCCGTCTTGATGATCTTGCCTCGAATGAAGTCCGTGACATTGTCCAAGGCTACATCGATTGGTATTTGACCATTATCATTGGGATTGTGCACGTCAAGGCCACTGTCAATCACACAAAGAACTCGATTTGGCTTGTGCTCAACGCGTGAATGAGTCAGCATTAGCTGCATTGTATGTAAGTTCAGCAAGTCATAGAAGGCAGTAGCGTGGGACTGATGATCCATCGAAGCTACTTCCTACGATGCGGGTTCTTGCACACATACGCCCATTATTACGTTCTGCTAAAGCGGCAACATCTTCATACGAGCATGTTTCATACCACAAACTTATTGCGGGACTCTGCGAAGGAGGCCGAGGAGGACATGTTACAATTAAAAAAAAAAACGGGATCATCCACCCCATTAGCAGGCAGTAGTCCACCTTTCCAGTAGCATCTTGCGAGGTAGTTACATCAAAAAGGACATAATTTGTACATGAATACATGCTTCATCAAGCGAGATGATTAGGTTTTACCTTATTAAAAGAGCCAAATAACACAATGACAACAAGGAAAACGGGGTACTAGTAGGAACACAATGAACCCTTAACGACCATCACAAGTTAGCACATGCATCACTCAAATAAAGAACCTCTCAACAATGATACTCACCAAGGGCTTTTGAAGATGCCAGCAATCAAAGAGTGATATGATGGAAAGAAAGAGATGTGTGGGAGAAAGACGATGGGCGGCAACATTCATCTTGTTTATATTTGCACGGTTGGCGTGGGTATCTCTGCGACCACAAAGAGTGATGGAATGGATGTTGAAGATGGTGATGAGCTGATAAATTGATGATGAGCCATTACAGAGAGCCTTGGTGTGATTGAATGTGCATCCATAAACCAGGAGGATCATAGATAGACAAGGTCATCCAACAATACATAGCATCACCAATCACTTGCTGTGTGCTTACATGATGCTAAACATAGACCATCTTTTACATGCATCACTCAATGACAATGGAAGTCATCCTTGTTCTCACTTTCCATGTATCTAACGTAAGAGAACCTCGGGTAAGATTGGCATCGGTCCACTACCACGAACATTAAAATACACAATGATCCTGGATCTACATAGCACACTTGTTGCCTAATACCGTTACGCGCTCCAATCGATGTGCTTATGACAACGGAGAATGCGGTCAGTTCAAGGATACATAAATGTGTAAGAATGCTTTTGAGTACCAAGAAAGGGAAATTTTGTAGTAAGTGACCTTGACCATCGGACCATTGGTTTCGGGATTGATCACCCAAAACGTCGACCTTGTGGTCAGGAGTGAGGAGGTTCATATGCGTCATGTTGTTGATCATCTTTTGGTGATACCAGCAAATAAGCTTGTATACGTAAACAACAGAAGGTAACAGGCTATCTTAAATTACAAGGTTGCACAACCAAAATGTCAAAGGCAAGCTTAGTGAGCATGATAATAAAAGTGTTGACAGTTTTCGGTTACCGTGCTATCTTTCTTTGGTATCGATTTTGTCCGCTGTATACTCCGCGACGACCTAAGCGTATCAGCAGTATATTGCGATATGCAGTTTGGTGTGCTTAAAGTATCCAATCTTGTTGCTGGGACGATTTGTACGCTGAAGGCAAGATTGCCAATGGACGTTTTCATTATGGATAAATATCAATTTGTGTTGACTGATGTGCATGCAAGGGAGGTGGTGATGGCATTCTTCATAAAACCTTATCTATTTTCATTGTGGTGTATGAATCCAGCAAATGGCTAAATGAACGTTTACATTTGCATGATGATGGATGATTCTTTATGGGCTAAGCTCAGATGTAAAGAGAGAGAGGATTGTAACATGGATATTGGTTTATTGGAAGATGCCCGATGTTATTCGAATGGCTATGAAGCAGGTTAACCACAAGGGTTGATGTGCATCATACACTGTCACCCCTTGCCTAGTAGTAGTAGCAGCAAGCAATAGCTGCTCCTTGTCGGCGCTTTTACCCCGCCATTAGTGAGCAGCAGCGGCAGGGCCATTTACAATCTCTCCTTCCCTTTTCCAGCTTACTTTTATATCTCTTTCCTTTCATTTCTCTTTTACTCATGTCTCTCGACTAATGGCAAATCTACTCGCATTCCTTTGTCCAAGTGTCCTTCATGCTGTCATGTTTGTCGCATTAGGGACGCTGGTCTTCCTATCTATTCCTACACCGACCGTTCAACCGATCCCTTCAGCCTACCGCTTCCGTGATTATGCGCTTGCCAAGACCAGCCAGTTCTTCACCCATGCTGCTCGATTTGCACTTGTGGTGCTATTGCCACTTGGTATTCAAGTTCTCGAGTTGGTTCAGGTATGGGTATATGCATTTTCTCCTATTTGTGCATACAAACTAAATCCTATGTTGCTCGAAATAGACCTTTCTCAGCTCGTCGCTTCCAGATTCAGAAGAAACAGCATTTGAAGAGCAATTCAAGTATCTCATTGTCACATCATCCTTGTTGAGCGAGTTTCCATCATTGACCGGAACCACCTCCACCACGCTTGCATCCACGCAGCTTCATCATCACCATCATCATCCTAGTTCTTCATCCCGTGAAAACATCCTTACCCAGGGCTTGATGATCACCTTTGTATCAACGTTACTCTTGAGTCTGATTGGATATCAAATTGTACCGGTTTATGTGCTTGGCATTTCGATGGTGACCATTCACGGCGCTGTATACTCTGTGCTTCGGCGATATCAGGTTTGTGCACTCTTTGTGTTCCATTTGGGTGATAATCTGAAAAAGCTAAAATTAAACTCGCGTCTTTGTTGATAGCGTCGTTGCAAGATCAGGTCAATACACAGCACAGCACTCGGATTACTACGTGATTTGGTCATTGAATGTGAACAATCGGATGCCATGGTGATGCGTATCATTGATCAATCTCGGCAACTGAATGCTATTCACCAAGGCGACACACTCGCACCACCAAATGATATCTCATCAGCCTCTTCACCTACAACACCTGTCACAGCATCTTCTTCGCGACGTGTAGCGGATACTCGACGTGCTTTGACTCATATCTTTAATTCACAATGGGCTCATTGGGTGTCTGCACTACGTCGACTCGAATCATTTTCACATCAGGGCAATTTATCACGTTTCCGCGACATGTACAACATCATACCCGTTGCTCACCAACAAAATGGCTCCACGGAGGAACAAATGCATGTGATACATTGGAAACGCCGTGAATGTTTGGTTCATTTACTCGCACTCGATGTCATGACACTGGAACACGACTCTGATCGTTTGGATTACGAATCGCATTGGGAAGTCGTTATCAAGGTTATGGGAAATCTCGTGGATGAGTACAAAAGGCATGTTCCTACCTTGCGTGAACATTTGATTTCATCTACAGGTAAGAGAGTGATTGGCATGTGTATGCACAAATGGACTAAGGAGAGATAATAGAAGTGTACGAGGATGACGATGAACGACCAACACGACCTGCTGATCCAAGAGTAAATGTCTTGTTACACCAGTACGCTGCTTTCGAAAAACACGTGCGTAACATCCAGTCCAAGCTCTTGCTGTGCCGCCAAGACACTCAATGCAACCAACAAAACCAAAGCCTCGAGCGTATTGGTGATCGATTAAGTATGATTGAGCAGGACATCACTCAAATGCTTACGCAATGGGAGGAAACCACCGAGGCCTACCGTAAACTTTCCACCGCTTCTCATGCACTACCATCACCTCCTTCGTCACCTGCCGGAAGCAACAACAGCAATAAACCTTTTATGAGGCGATCCATGCTCACTGCAGCAGCCGTTGCATGCTTTCTGGAAAACAAACGATCACGTGAAAAGGTAACTTGTCAAGTTGAAATAGGAAGGATGTGATTATTAACATGCTTTTGCATGATAGCCTTTACATTCCACCACGCCATCACCACCACCACCATCCTCTTCGTCTTGTTAAATAGTTTTTATTTTCTCGAATGGGCTACCAATGATGATAGCTCCTATGTAATATAGAAAACAATCAGTACACGTTTTTATATACCAATCACTAGTACTTTATACTTCCGAGTGAAATGATCCGAATCCTATCTTTCTTTTGATGCATATATCTCGGGCCAAAGTCGAAAATATCATTTGTCTATCCATTAACGCTGTCAATGTCGTTGTCTATGTGCTGGTGTTCTCAGCAGCCATTGCCAAGGCAACAGAGGGTACGCTTGGCGAGATTATTATGAGCGTTTATGGCATGTAAGTCATTCTTCTTTCTCCTTTTTCTTTATTAGAGACATCATGTTTCGAGAATACGGCTGTCAAAAGCAGTGTCACTGATTCTGTTTCAGCATCATGAGCATCTTGCTCATTGCGAACGAGATCAAGACGTTCACTGTTGCACAAGCCTATTTCGGATTCCTGGGCTTTCATGCAGGTCGTGGATTATTGTTTTGCTTGTAAGCTGTTGTGTCACACACACACACACATGCCAAGTCATGCAGCTAATAGGTCATTGTCACAGCTTAGGATGTCTTGTTATGAACCCTACACCATTCAATGTCATTGTCAGTATTATCACATGCACCGTTGGATTGGGCTATCTCATTCTCTCGTTTCTACCACAAATGCCACCACCCAATGCCTTTTGCGTTCATTGGCAACATCATCAAGACTTTTGGGCCGAAGGATTGGATTTACCTCCTCCTCCATCAGCAGCCCCGCCTATGACAAACACGATAATAGTGACTCCACCTCATCCATCTACTTGGCATCCCAAAGTCAGATACTAGCCAGTTTTTTTATACCATATAAGATCAAAAAAATACAATTTTTATATACTGTATCCATCGAAAACACTATTTCTACCCAACACATGCCTAGCATATTCGATTGTTCCAAATCCTACGTGCATGCATCTAGCCAAACACAAATACCGCAGCTTGTTCTTGTCGACGAGAGAGCGTACGCCAAGATCAGTGACAGCGACAGAGTCCGTGATATCAAGTTCAGCAAGTGAGGGAATGTCACCCAATGCACTCATTACAGAATCCGTTAATGCCATCATGGTGTGGTTGATAGTGAGCTTTTCAATAACTTGTAGACTTGATGCAAGATCCAATAAACCTTCTTGGTCCATATGCCCATCATAAGCAATCCGCAATGATTTGAGTGATGCTCCATGTGTAGATCCCAGTGCTTCCAATGTACGATTGGTCATGCCTCCACCACATCGCTCCAAGGTCACATGTTCAAATTTGGCTTGTGTTGTTCCAAAAAACTCGCACATCCCAGCCTCTGAAAAGCCATAACATTCATAGAAAGCGACATGCTTCAAATGGATTCGGTGCTGTAATACACCAAGCACGCTGTTGCGTAGTTGAGTCATGCCATTGAGTATCACTTGTTCAAGACACGGCGTGTGCTGTAAGAATCGCACCAGCTCATCCGTTTCGCATGCAATGGTCAGCTCAAGGACACGTAGCTGTTCACATCGTAGTGAGGCAAGATCATCCCATCGGCCCATTGGATTGCCTGGTCGTGCATGGCCACCCATCCTCACTATTTCAATATGCTCTTGGCATGTCCTAAGCAAGTTCACCATATCCACTCCATCGTATCCTTCAAGATCGCCAAATCGAAACTCTTTCAAATGTCCTTTACCACCACTACCATGAGTAAGAGGTCCGGTGGGTAACAAGGGATCATCATCTTGAAGCAGGTTGTGGCTAAAGGACAAGTATTCGAGATCAGGGCAATGCCGGGAAATAACATCGAGTTCAATTTGTTGACCACCATGCTCGCGTAGTCTGTAAGGAACGATCAAGCTGCGTAGGTGTGGAAATCGTTGTAATACGATGGGTAGTGGCATGATGCGTTGGTCGACGTCCCAAGATAGGTATTCAAGATCTGGGTAATTGGCATTGTTGGCTTGAAGAGAAAGTTCTGGGAAGGATCCATGACGAGAGAATGTGTGGTGTGGCGCATGATAAGTGAATGCTTTCAATTGTGGACATGCACGCAGTATGGGATCGAGAGGAAAAGGATCATGCATTGGATGGTTACACACAGCTAATTGTTGCAAGCTATGGCCCACTGATTCAAGTGCTGGCAACAGGTCTTCAATGCCGATAAAGCATTCATCGATCACTATGTACAGCACCCATCATTAGTCTTTTAGTTTTCTTTCCTCCCAATATAGTATCAACTTCTTACCAAGTACTTTGAGATTGGAGCATACATTCACGAGATTCATCATCCTGTTATCTTGATGGTGCTTGAGTTCCAAAGATTGAACATGTCGTCCTAGAAACGGTGCTGCTCTTCCATAATCATCCAGCTGAACATGTCTGTTCTTGATATACATGCACGATGAGAGCTTATCGCGCCATTGTCGAGACACCTGCGTACACTCGCGACAATCGTGTATTGATAGCTGATCCATGATGAAAGCAATGACATCCACTGGCAACAAAGACACCCAATCCACACGTCGCTGTAGCTCCTCTTCAACCATCAGCTTCCTTTCTTTCAATCGTTCGCTGTCACTGATATGGAACAATCCAAGCTCGTACATCCCCACTGCATCCACAAATCGACTCTGTGCTTCATATACTTTGGCTGCTCGAAGGTATCCTGCTTCTTCTTTGGGTGCCTGCTGCATCATCTCCTTGGCATCCTCAAAGGCAAGGTCGTATTTTGATCCTCTGATATACGCAACGGCACGCGCGTCCAAGATGGCAAGTAAATGCGTTCGCTTCAACTCTTGAATGGCTTCGGTCATGTGCTGAATGGCTTGTTCATCGTCTCTTTTCTTCAATGCCGAAAGGGCATCCTCGAACATTGTGTCCCAGGTCATCGAGTTGCTGCGCAGTAACGAGAGGAGAGGAGAAAGAAGAGAGAGAGCCAAGCCTGTATGCAAGGTATGTGTTACATGAAAGGAGTTTAACAGGTGTGGCGCGGTTAATGGCAGGTGCGGCATAATGTCATCATAGCGAGCATCATCTACAATGGTGACAAGATTGGATCCAAATGCACCACACATCACCTACAATGGATAACAAAATCAGGGCGTATTTCTTATAGTCGTATTTTAGCATTCACGTGTAAGCAGCAATGTATTCTCTGTATGTGGCAGATGTCGTGGTGGTGTGTCGAATGAATAAAAAGAGTAAAGTCTCTGATTTACGTCGTCTTGTGTACATGCCATGAGGCAAATAAAACGTGGATGGAACTTTATTGGCTGAAAAAGGATGTTCATTGTCTTCATAAACGCGTAGCATGAAACGGTAATCACGTCCGGTTGAATTTACCCGACGCCACTTGCTGCCACGTGCCTCAAATGGTATCTCTCCAGTCTCGCTTAAACTTAACCGAGACCGCATAATGAATGATTTCGTGTGGGTTTTCTAGCACATAGCGTACTCAAAAGTAATCGGATCAAAATGACGCATCGCTTCCGATGGCGACGTTTGCATCACCGTCATCATCACTCCCGCACTATAATGCTACAATTAAGAAAGGCTATTACCGTATAGCATCATAGTCTATTGCTTGTCCAACAGCTTACGTGTGTTTATCAATGACTCTTTTTTCTCAAAAGATGTGATGATGGTGTTACCATGCATGGTGCATTCTTTGGTTTCTGATAACAGCGGAGCAAACAATTGTTACAACCTATATAAATCCTGTTGATCCGCACATCCATGGTTTTTACCCCACTCTTGGCATATACCTCTTTATCATTCTTATTACTATATATGGGTGCGTTCAAGATCACTTTTGTCAATGGGAGAGAAAATCGCTTACACAACGTTTCATTAGACGATGAACAACAATGAAAAGCCAGCGAATGGAGATATGCATGAAAAGCTAAAACGCACGGATAATGCAGATGGTTCATCCAAAGACAACAAAGAAGGGGGTGTGCCCGTCTACAAGCTTTTCCGATTCGCCACCAAACTCGAACTCTTTTTGCTTTTTGTGGCCTCGCTCCTTATGATCGGTGTTGGTGCTCTTATGCCTGCCTCTATGATCATCTTTGGTGATATGCTGGGATCACTAGGACAAGCAGCCGGATCAGCAACTGAAATTACCAGCACAGACGACTTGTTAGCTGTCAGTCGACCCTTGATTTTGGTCTTTGTATACATGGCCACAGCCAATCTCGTAACAAGTTACCTGGCCCATGCCATTTTTGTGTATACAGGCGAGAAACAAACATCAAGAATCAAGCGGCTCTTTGTGCACAACATTATGCGTCAAGACATGGGTTGGTTTGATATGGCAGAGGAGGGATCCCTAACAACGCGCTTGGCAACCGATGTCCAAATGGTACAAGAAGGTATATATAATAAATTCATCTTTATGTATCATAAATCTAAGCATCTACTATCTATGTACGTAGGCATATCAGAGAAATTCGGTAACATCCTCCAAATGATCAGCCAAGTCATCACCGGTATCATTGTTGCATTCATAAAGGGCCCAATTTTGGCTGGTGTGGTGCTTGCAACGATCCCTCTTATTGGTGGAGCCGGTGGTCTTATGGGATATTACTATGGCAAATTCACTCAAACGACGCAAGACGTTTATGCTGGTGCAGGATCCATTGCCGAGGAAATGATCAGTGGTATTCGTACCGTATTTGCATTCTCGCTCCATGATCGGTTCCAGGCACGATATGAAGAACGATTAAAAGAGGCTCGCAAGACCGGATGTCGTCGAGGGCTCATGTTGGCAGTGCTTTTTGGTGCATTCATGTTTGTGCTCTTTGCTTCTTATGGTCTAAGTTTCTGGTATGGAGCCAAGCTTGTTCGTGATGGAAGAATGACTGGATCCGAGGTAGGGTTGATATTGATTGTGTGTGGGTGGGTGGGTGTATGAATAAGGACTCATTGTGCGTGTGTGTAGGTGATCATTGTGTTTTATGCAATGCTGGTCGGGACAATGGCGTTCATGAATCTCCCCCTCAATTTGTCGGCTGTCAGTGCCGCCACAGCAGCTGCAAAACGTATCTTTTCCACTATCGATCGTATCCCGTCCATTGACATTGATGACCCTGGAAAACGACAACACACGCTTGGTGGCCACATTGAGTTTCGCAACATTAGCTTCAGCTATCCAACACGCCCTGACATTCCCATTCTTCGATCGTTCTCTACCTCCGTTGCTCCAGGCACCACTGTTGCTCTAGTCGGCGCATCGGGTTCAGGCAAATCAACCATTGCTCAACTGTTACAGCGATTCTACGATCCCATTGAAGGCGAGATTCTTGTGGATGGTGTTTCACTCAAGGACTTGGGTGTTCAGTCGTTAAGGAAGCAGATTGGTGTTGTCAGCCAAGAGCCTGTGCTATTCAATACGACCATTCGCAAAAACCTACTTTTGGGAGCTATCGACGACAATGTCAGTGATGAAGTATTGGTGCGTGCATGCAAGGCAGCCAACTGTCATGATTTCATTACAGCACTTCCCATGGGATATGACACGGATGTCGGTCAGCATGGAGGCATGCTTTCAGGTGGACAAAAGCAGCGGGTTGCTATCGCACGGGCCATCCTCAAAGATCCCGCCATCTTGTTATTGGATGAGGTAAAGTATATGGCATGAATATCCATGGTTTGACGTATTTAACATGATGCACTTTGATAGGCTACATCAGCACTTGATACACAATCTGAACGACTTGTACAAAAGGCCCTCGACGCAGCATCCAAGAATAGGACGACTTTAGTCATCGCGCATAGACTGTCAACAATCCGTAATTCTGACAACATCATCGTTTTACACCATGGAGACATTGTTGAGCAAGGCACACATGAACAACTACTTGCAAAGAATGGTGCCTATGCTGAACTTGTACGCAAACAAGAGATCGCCACCAAATCCAAACAAGATGCTGCTGCTGAAGAAGAAGAAGAGGATCAACATGACGCTGCCACAGTGGTGACTAAGGATGATGGATTCGAAGAGCGGCATGATCATATGGACATCACTCTTCAAGAGGAGAATGGAAAGGATTTCATCATTACGCGCAAAAAGAGCATTGCGTCTTCAATCGATGGTGGTACTCCTGATCAAGACAAGCAACAACGTGAGCGTGAAGCCAAATACAAGCATGCCAAGACACCCTTCTTCAAAGTGTTTATGCAAATGCGTCCCGAATGGTCATTGATTCTTGTTGGTCTCGTGGGATGTATCATGACAGGTGCTCTATTCCCGGCATTGGCGCTCGTTCTTGGAAAAGTATTTGCCGTGCTTGTTGATCCAGAAACCCTTCAACATCCTCCAGGGCCTATGGATGGTGCCAATCTCTACGCATTCCTCTTTGTCATTTGTGCTATTGGTGGTTTTATTGGCTTTGTATTGCAAATTGGCGGGTTTGAAATGGCGGGTGAACGATACACGGAGAGATTACGGGCCAAGTTATTCGCTGCCTATTTACGCCAAGAAGCCGGCTTTTTTGATGAGGAGAAAAACAGTATGGGTGCATTGACATCCATGTTGGCGGCCGATGCCAAGCACGTCAATGATATGATTACCAAGGTCTTGGGCGAAATTGGCAATGTAATCTTTACTGCTATTACTGGTAGGTAGCAGCACGTGATTGTATGGTTATATGATTATTAACATGGTAGCTTTACATAGGATTTGTGATTGCATTCATCCATGGTTGGGCGCTCACTTTGGTGATTGTGGCTACAATGCCATTCATGGTGGCGGCTAGTGCCTATGAGACTCAAATTGAATTGGACTATGCGGGTGATTCTCAAAAGGCGGGCATCAAAGCAGGCGAGGTGGTTGCTGAAGCTGCCAAGACGATCCGTACAGTTGCAGCCCTTACCAAGCAACACCATTTTGAGCAACGTTACAGCAAAGCCAACGCCTATCCACAAAAGCTTGCCTATCGTAAAGCGTACTTGGGATCAATTGGTTATGCATTGAATCAAGCCATGGTTATTTATGTTTATGCTATTGCTTTCTATGCTGGTGTACGATTTATGGAGAAAGGCATGATGACTATCGAGCAAATGATGGTTGTCATGCTATCGGTCATCTTCACTGCTATGGGCATTGGTCGTGGAAGCATGTTTGTCTCATTCATTGTCAAGGCAAAGTATGCAGCTCTCTCCGCTTTTGAGTTGTTGGAACGTAAACCGGCTATTGATGGTGACATGGAAGGCATTGAACCAAGCACTGTGAATGGCGATATCGCTTTCGAGAATGTGGCATTTGCGTATCCCCGTCGACCGGATATCCCGATTTTCCATGGCGACTTTAATTTGCATGCTTCAGCTGGCAAGACAATTGCGCTTGTGGGTTATTCCGGTTGTGGAAAATCAACGGTGATTGGTATGCTGGAACGATGGTACGACGCTTCAAGTGGTGCCGTAAAGCTTGATGACACAAATATCCAGCGCTATACGCTCTCCAATTTGCGTAGACACATGGCTTTGGTTGGTCAAGAACCGGTTCTCTTTGACTTATCTATTGGTGAAAACATTCGATTTGGTGTTCCAGAAGGTGAAAAGGTCACACAAGAACAAGTTGAAGAAGCATGTAAGGCTGCCAACATCCACAAGTTTATCATGGACTTGCCTGAGGGATACAATACACGTGTCGGGGATCGAGGATCGCAGCTGTCTGGCGGCCAAAAACAACGCATTGCTATTGCAAGAGCCCTTATCCGCAATCCACGACTGCTACTTCTTGACGAAGCAACATCAGCCCTTGATAGCGAGAGCGAGAAGCTTGTTCAAGCAGCCATTGATAATGTATTACAAGAAGGAGGTCGCACAACTTTCACGATAGCTCATCGCTTAAGTACAATTCAGGAGGCAGATTTGATCTGCTACTTTGAAAATGGCCGTGTCACCGAACAAGGAACACATTGGGAGCTATTGAAACTTGGAGGTGCATACAAGGAGCTCGTCGAACAACAAAGCCTTCAATGATTTCTAGGCATCATTCATTATTCCCCCTCTATAGAATAACAATGAAACTATATAAAGACTAGGTAGCGACCCAGGTCGCTGTTCATCATTTTCAGCTGATACATAGCCTCTTCCTCCCACTTGAAACAGCTGCTCAACTCATTGCATGCGAATCAATCTCCTGCACCAAAGCTATCATTTCTAAAAATTCAATTGCCTTGATCCGAGAAGATTTGACTGAGCAAGGCTCTCATAATGGATATATCTTATAAGCTTTAGAAAGGCTTCTTCCATATCGATGATGGTCAAAGGTGTGGAATTAAATTTGGGATGGGCTTTATCCTTATTTTACCTATAAACATCTTCTTGTATATGATGGATGGATTGATTAATAAGTGCAGGTGCTGACGCTGCATCGCGTTCGATATGGTATTCTAACATCCCCCCCCGATCACTTTATCAATTACAATACATCACAACCTCGTTTCTTGCATGGACATCACCAATTCTCACGCCCAAGAAGCACATATAAGCAAGGATGCTGCCATCGACATTATCACAAATCTCTTTCGTCGATCGCACAAATCATCAAAAACCTGCTATTTGGTGAGTGTTTGGGAAGGTTGTATGGATCAGAAATAGCTCATGCATTCCTCTTTGAATCATCTGTGCAGTTCTTTATTGCTTTATTACTTGTGTCTATTGCTGTCTCTGCCATATGGATCTTATTCCCTAGTCTTACGACAAAATTTTTAACAGCAATGACTTCAACATCCAATCCGCTCAAGTAGTTGCTCTTGAGTACATCCCTGTTTGTATGTCATGACATGAATACCAACAAGATGCAAGCATCCAGTAAGCGCCGGTGGAATCGCTTAGCAAGTTTAGTGCAAACCTTAGCAAAGCAACAAAGGCTATTGCAGCCATATTGTGGAGTTTCCTAGGGCACAAAATCCAGTTGAGGGAAGGAAAGATTACAAATGGCCATGCTGCTGCTCATTAATGGCAGCGCCAACAATTGCTCATGCTGGGTGAAGGCGATCGGCAGTGTATGTACATTACTGTAGCGGCTCGAATAGCATCGGGCATCTTCCAATAAACCAACAACTATGTTACTATACTCTCTCTTTTCATCTGAGCTTAGCCCATAAAGAAGCGTCATCCATCATGCAAATAAGCGTCATTGTGTATAATGAAGAATGTGCCATACAACCTCTGTTATTAATCATCGACATAAATTAATTTATCTATCCATAATGAAAATGCGCCTTTGCAATGTTGCCTCTCTAATACAAAACACAAATCGTCTCAATAACAAGATTTGCTATGGGGGGCTGTTGTTTCTCGCTGGTATGATCCCCTCATAGTAAGAGAAATGGGGTCGGACTTGAATAGAAGGCTTGCAGCATACTCTACGCATATCTCCTTGTGTTAATGACTCCAATGACAGGTTTTAAACCACTATTCACGCATCGAATATAAAGACTTTACCAAGATCCTTCTGCTCCAAGGATGCACATACGCCAGCGATCCTTGTTAACAGCAGCTTTGGGTCCGTGGCGCCGCCGTCATTCATTCTCAGGCTACTAGGTACATTAGCCAATTCGCATAGTAACGACTCTAGTGACGAGAGCGACATTGTGTTGGCGTTGGTGGTGGTGTGAGGAGAAGGATGACAACTCCCACATCACTCTGCGATACGAGGTCGTGATAAATAAATAGCCTACATACGGGCCATGTCCAAAAAATGGCAACACGCGCGCCCATGAATTCCCTTGCTGCGGCATAAGGGATATGTTGCCTGACGCGCCATATAATGAGAACCGTTAAATGACCCCCACGCCGGCTGTACGTAGTACAATATGCCACCCAAGCCAACGTTTCAGGTGCTTCTTGCGAAGTAGCTACATCGAAAAGGGACATAATATGCATATAAGTACATGCTTCGTCAACCGAGATGATTAGGCTTTACCTTAATAAAAGAGTCAAAAACACAATGACAACAAGGGAAGTGGTAGTGCTAGGATAATAACAATGACATAAAACCTTAACGAACAAAAACTTAGTACATGGATCGCTCACAATAGAACTCTCAACCATGGTACTCACAAAGGGCTTTTGAAGCTGTCAGCAATCAAAGAGTGATGTGATGGAAAGAAAGAGATGTTTGGGAGAAAGGCGATGGGCGACAACATCCATCTTGTTTATATCTGCACGGTTGGCGTGGGTATTTCTGTGACCACAAAGCGTGCTGGAATGGATGTTGAGAATGGTGATGAGCTGGTTGATTGATGATGAGCCATCACAGAGAGCCTTGGCGTCATTGATTGTGCATCCATAAACCAGGATTGAGATAGACGAGGTCATCCAACAATGGTATCACTCAAATCACTTGCTGTGCTGTATGATGTTGCTCGAGGATGTCTGTGTAAGAGCTCGATTCAAAAAGAAAAGCCGTTGGCAACTTCATAATCAATAAGCAAAGTACACAAGCGTGGATGTGCCCGGCCATCATCACGCGGATGGTATGTATAATAACAGCTTCCATGGAAGTAACCCAATCTCCCTCTTCGGCCTTCAGATTTCCATTCCCCCCTTCCACTCCAGAAACCAACCAAGCGATCCACATCTTGCACACATGAGCTGATAGTACGATGCCCTTCATATTATGTTGAATCCAATTTTCATTCAATGAAGAAGTCGAAGAATAGTACATGATGGTGGGGATGTTTATCAAGTAAATGTGATGAATGAACAGCATGCAAATTGAATGAGATAGGGGTGAATCATATAGAGGCAATAGGGATAATCGTGTCATTGTATTCTTGGTGGTTGCCGTTACAAGGGTCTTCATCCATCGTTGGAAAATAGCTGCTGCACGCATTGAATCGAGTGCTCCAATATCTTCCATTGCTGTACAATACCTTTCCTCAATGCCATCCCATCCATCATCTTCCTCAGCCGTATCCACGCAATAGGCTCCATCCTTTCTGCTGACAACGCGACAAGTAACCAAAGCAACATCCAGGATTTCCCATCACTGCACTTGATTGCATCCATCCATCCATCCATTACCATTGCTGATATGCTTCCTTTTGCATTCGTCCGTTGGTCAATCTCTTTCTTGATCACTTTCCATGTACAGTGTGCTCGATAGCCGATATGACATCGTCCATAGGAACTCGTATGTACCAAAGCAAGTTGCTGCACGTAAATAAAGATGCTTCTATACAATGGCTATCTGCTGTTCACGTGAAAAGGCTGAACAAGTTGCTGCAAGTAGAGAACGCTGTTTGCACCTTGCCAATAGCAACAGCTGCTACGGTTGTTCGTGGCAGAGGAGTGTGCAGGAGCGTGTGTTGTAGTAGAGTGACCAGATTGTAAACGCTGTATGAGACAATGCAATAAAGGCCTTGCTAATGGCAACTGCTGGAATGAACGCTGTTACGATTGGTCGTGGCAGAGGATTGTACAAGAGAAGGTGTAGTGTCAAGAGACTCGTGTGCGTGTTGTAGTGGGTGCACACGCCATGGACTTGCCCATTTAGCCGAAAGCAATCGGGTTAAGACGATCGTAGGGTTGATATGATGGATTGAAGCAGGGCATTCGTTTGCAGGTGGTAGTTGTATACTTGAATGGGGCAACAGTTGAGAATGGGAGGAAGAGACGAGAAGTTGTGGGAGTGGAAGAAGTGGAAATTTAAGTAGGCTGAGCTGTTGGACACCTCTTGTATAAATCCATGAACACTGTACATCAATCCTTGATATTGAGATTACCCATCTCGAACCTGAAACTTTCACACAAGATGCTCTTGGACATGCTGATCACGTTGATCTAAAAAAGACCTCATGTTTCATTTGACAATTTGGAATGGGAGGGTGTCGTGTGGGTTTACTATGTAAATCGACAATGGAGGACAGCGCCGGTTCATGATTTATCGACATAGTATGTATTACCTTGGGATTCCCCACCTGTAACCTGAAACTTTGTCAGGAGGTTCGCTGGAACATGCTGATCACCTTCATTCAATTAAAAAACGCAGGCTTCATTGTGAAGATTTAAAATGCGGGGGTGCCCATATGGTGGATGACGGACAACAAAGAGTGAACGGCCTACCGCCCCGAAGTTGCCCACTTCCAACTTGAAAATTGGTCAGGATGGTGCTCTGAGCATGCTGATCCACTTTTTTCAAATAAAAACCTCACGCTTCATTTGAAAATTTGGAAGGAGAGCGTCCAAAAGTTTGAAAGACGGAGACATTCGCAGGGTCTGTCTTTCAAGAATTGACACATTCTCTGTTTGGGCGTAGCTCAGTCAAATCAGCTCGGATCAAGCAACTTGAATGATGGAAATGATGGGCTGGAGCAGGAGAATCTTTCCCATGAAATGGATTTTGCAGCAACGCTGATTGTGAGGAAATGGCTGATAGCGTGAATTATATAGACTATTGTAGATAGCCATAAAGTATAATCCATCAATCCTTCCAGTCGTGCAAGATAGCTGTGTTACACAAGCACGTCCCTCTGCATCTTTTGCTCCGTCAGGGTCCAGCTATTCGACAATGAACAAATTTCACTTTTCATATACCATCACGCTTGCAGCATAGTAAAACCATAAAGATAGCCATAGCTCAAAATCTTACTATCGATGTTGAGGTCTTTAATAGAACAAAGTTGCTCGGATGGGTCAAAGGAACCTTGTGTGAAAGTTTGACGAACAAGGTGGCCAATCCCAGATTTCGCAATGTCGCTACCAGCCAAACTGGATCCGGGGCTCAACCTCTTTTGACGACGACCAAAAAAACATTTTTTGGGCTGTTTGCCATTTGATGAGCAGAAACTTTCACACAAGGTGCTGTTGGCCAAGCCGAGCATTGCTCTAATAAAAACCCCACGTTTCATTGTAAAGTTTGGAGATGCAGGCACCTTTATGTTTGTAAAGCGTGATGCTATATGAGAAGTGGTCTTCGTTCAATGTCCAAGTCGCACTGGACCTAGCGGAAACCAGCAAAGATGCAGAGG